AGAGCCAGGGGCCTGGAGAGAACGCTCTGTGTTGTATAAGCGACCTTGTTTTGCCATTTGTCGAGCAGAATTTGTTGCAGGCAAATGATCCATGTTATCACCTATTCTGCTTCCTTGAATCCTGTATTAACTTCATTAGCTTTGTCTTTCTCCTGCTGCTGCCAAGCAAGGGTAGTTAGAAGTCTTGTAAATTAAAATACCCCTTTCTCCTCAGGTCTGGAGAAAGTGGAAATAGCTACTGGCCACGCTGAAGGGTAGAGGGAGAGGCTCTGCTTGCCCTTCATTTCCTCTGAAGTCAGGTCTTCAAGGGGACTTATTTTAGGGGCAAATAGAATGAGTGGCCAGGTCATCTGAAATACCCACAATAAATGTTAGTACTGAACGATATTTCAGCATAACTGACGATTTTTGCCTTACCTGTGCTTATAAAGAGCACCATAACTGGTTCCGAAGTGGCCCAGATGGTGCGTGGCTGGAGCCAGCCTGACCTCTGTCCTCAGTGGGCAGGAAAGCTCGGCCTCTCTGGGCACCTACCTCCTGGCCCCGGGGGTGGGGCCGTTTTTATAGGCGTCTCGGGCCTCTGCCTCTAGAGGTCATCATGCCTTTCCAAATGCCTGGAGCCAGCATCAGTGTTTCAAAGGGACCAGGGAACCCAGAGCTGCAGCCTTTGGGGCCAATTTAATGCTGTATCTCCCTTCTGCTGAGGAAATCCTCACTCAAACAGGAAGAACTGGGCTAAGGAATAGCTCTCATTCTTCTTTATAGCCAGGTACCCAGAAGTGCCACCCCCGTAGGCAGGCACCAGCCCGGCTGCTCCCTCTCGTCATTATCACCTCAGAAAGTGATGTGCCAGTCTCAGCTGGTGACCGGTTGCTGTCGGAAGAGTAAGGAGATCTGTACGCTGGTCAAGAGTGAAGACGGAGCCCACGGGTTCCCCGTGCTCCAGCTCAGCAGCCGTTAAATGGCTATTATATATTGGACGCTGGGTTAGCCCTGAAGATACAGATGAGACCGAGACAGCCCCCACCTAACGGCACCTGCTTTGCCTAGCAGAGGAGACCGGCCCTGTAGCAGATAATTTCACAAACTGGGCCACTGGGGGGGTCCTTCCTATTTTAATCCAGTCCCTATAAGGGCTGTTTCTGCCAGCGCCTGTGAGACCAGATTGAGAAGCGACCTACAAGGTTGAGGCCTATGTTATGTAACAACTCCCCCAGAACACATTGTTTTGTTCATTCTGATCCAAATACTTAGCCCTTTGTGGTCAGCTTCAATTGAAGGCTAGATTCTACTTCCCCCTTCCACCACCGCCACTGAAGCTTGGCTTTATTTCCTTCCTGCAGCCTCTCCTACTCAGGGTGTCCTGGCCTCCACCTTTCAGTTCCAGGTAGCTAACTCTGTATGAAGGCATTTGAGACCTGTGGGAAACCCGGCAGCACTTACAGCCTCGGGACTGGTCAAGGGAATTGAGTAAGGAAGAATTCCAAAGATAGAGAATTTCTTTGTCTCTGTCTTCCATCTGGCCTCAGGGCCAACAGGGCAGGTTTCTGCAAGTTTAAGCGGCTTTCCCTTAAGCAGGCTGCAAAGCAGTCTGGGAGAACGGGAAGCAGATTAAATTAATCTCAGTGTGCTGAGCTTGGCAGGGGGTGAGATTGTATATGGTCATTCTAGAAATAGCCCAGACTCCTCTGTGACTAAAGCACATGATAAGGTATTGCCTACAAGATGACTGCAAAGCGAAATAGCTGCAAACCTTTGTACAGTCGTAAAACGCTCTCCCTTCCGTCCCTTGGATTCTGTGTCTCCTGTAACCTGGCCCAGAGGTATAGTGGAGAGTGATAGCTTATAATGTTGTGGTGAAGGGGTTTATTAGTTTGTTCTCTTGCTTAATAAGATCCTTTTTTAAAAACTTAGATTCCCAAAGTCTTTTTCCTCCCAGAGTTAAGTATTGGCTCTGTAGCCTCTGAGCTCGTGAATGTCTCTGTTGGCTCCTGTATTTGGCACGAGGAAGGACTCTGACCTCAGGAGCCCCCGCCTCGTCTTGCAGTGTACGTTAGTAGGCACAGATCTGAGAGACAGGAGGGAAGGGGGTAGAGGGGGTAAGGAGAAGAGTCGAACAAGGTTGGAGAGATCCCATAAAAGGAGACAGGGTATCAGCAGCTGTTTGGTGATAAATATCAGTGAAAAGAGGGAGGTGGGCAGGATCCCAGAATTCAGAGGAGAATGGATTAATTCCATAGAAGTATGATAAACTAAAACAAGGCAGTCACTCATTGCCCTCCATCTGTGCTCTCAGCGAGGAACGAGATTGTGTTTGAAAGAAACAAAACAAAACTCTTACCAACAGGATCTCTTGGATCAATACACTTGATATATTATGTTACTATTGACGGAGTACCTGACTTTAAAAGATGCTGGCAAAGAAGACCTAGGGTGATGATGAATTTGCAACCTTTTATATAAGAAGTCCTCAAAGGAGCAGAGGGAGTGTGGCCTGGAGGAGAGAACATAAACTGGGCTCATAAGTGACATCCTTCATGACACCAAGAGCATTTCTTGAGTGTTTCCCAGTGTGCTAGCACTTCATTGCTATTCATTTTCTCACTTAGTCCTTGTAGCAACACTAAAGGGTAGGTCTTATTATTGTCTGTATTTTATAGCTGGAGAAACCAAGGGTCAGAGACAGAAGAGGACTTGTCCCTAATCCACTTGAGTGATAGAGACCAGTCTCTAAGCCAGGTCTAAGCCTGTGTTTTTGCCCATTATACAAATAAGATTAGCCTTGTTCTGTGTGGTCTAAGAAATAGAACCAGGGTAAGTGGACAGAAATTAACAGAAGATAGATTTTTGGCTCATTATAAGGAAGAACTTATTAATTGAACTGCCCAAGTTGGGAACAGACTACTTCAGAGGTAGTGAGTTCCTTTGTCATTAGAGGTATTCAAACAAATGCCAGAAAATCACTGGGTGGGGCTATTATAGGGAAGGGTAAAGCATTGGTAAGGGGTTGAACCAGACTTTCTAATCTTGTGACTCTATAATCTGTACAGTAGCTCATTAGCGAAGCCAGGGAATATTTTACTAGGCTCTAATCAGAGGGGAATAGCCATCATCTAAAAATAGGATTTTAACTTACATAGTAAGCTTTCTATTTTAACATTTATTCATTATTTTAAATAAAATAGATTGTTTCTTTGCATATTTAAAATACTTTAAAATATACAAGCAAAAATGTAATTATGTAAATATAGACTGAAATATTTAAAATTTAAAAGCAAAGAAACTTAATTTGATTGATTGTATAATTAACTCAGTCCTCCTAGTTATTCATGGATTGTTAAGGAAAGATTTTTTTTTTCTAGTTCCCAAACACCTTTACAATTTTAGAAAGACTGATTCTAACGGAGAAATTTTCCATCCCTATAGAAAGGTCAAAAATGTCAAACAATTTTTTTCAAAGGACTATAAACACGTAAACGAATTTTTCTAACTTGCTGGTATGACTGTCTCCAAAAAAATTAATTTTTAAAAAATCTCATTAATCACATCTCTTAGGTAACTCCTGCTAAGCTCTGAAATTTATTATAGTTGAATTACAGAGGTCTGAGTACTGAAGACATGTGTCATGGCCAACTGTTTTTTTTAACAAAAAAGATTTATCCCCGTTTACTGCACATTAGGACTACTAGTAAGAAAATGAGCCGGTTATAAACCTTTTCTAAAATGAGTTTATTTTGATTTCTCCATGCCACATAATTAGGCATCGTGAATTCCTGTTCTGTGGTGGGATTTTTAGATCTTTAACATGAAATAAGAGCATCTTCATATAAATTTTGTGCAAAAATTACTTAGCTAATAAATATACTGAAATTCTTTTTAAAGTGTGTAATACGTACATTCACACTGGGTTATGCTTACTGTCAGTAGGCTTGTTGCAATAAAGAAATGGCTTTTTCTTTCTTTTCTTCTTTCTTTTTTTTCTTTTTTAGGAAGTTCCAGGTTAAAGGCAACCTCAGCTTCACACAGTTGGCGGTGGTAGAGAATGGCCCTGGGAAGGGGGGGTGGGGAAAGAGTTAAAAAAGTGAAGAGAGGAAAGTTGCTTCTAAAACAGTGAAGCAACTCAGGAGAGGTACTGTTTGGAGTGGAGGAAAGGGGGTCCCTTGTGGTGTGGTTCTGTAAAGGCACCTCATCATACTTACTGGAGCTCTGTCAGGCTCTTCAGAGAAAGGCTGGCAGCCCCGTGGAGAGGAAATCTTAAGCAAGGCTCTCCTTGGAGGGAAGGAGTCTGTGGTTGGCCGAGAATCAGATTGGATGTGGAGCTGAGAACTGGACAAGAGGCTTGATTGGGGCAGGAGACCTGCAGGAACAGCATAGAAAACCTCAGCTCTGCTTAGGGGCTTCCTCGGTGGAGAAACAGAATACACGCATGTCTTAATGCAGTGATCCCAAATAACCAGTCTCCGATGAGGCGGATCTGTGTTAAAATGTTCACGTGGGGTTCAGTACTTTGACATTTCACAGCACGCTTAAAATCTAACCCTTTCCTGAGGAACCTCATAGAAGGTTCATTTCCTCTCTGCCCCAAACCCCCTCATGCCCCAAGCCCTATACCTAGTTCAGCTTTTCATCTTGGTTTTAGATGTCACCTTGAATACATTTTCTCCCTTGAGCAGAATGTAAACTTGTTTGTCCAGATCAATATTGACCAAGGTCTTAACTCCTCAGAGGCAGAATTCTTGCCTGTGTAACCTGGTTGGACTAAGCACAGTTGGGAAATTAAGAAAACACTGCTGGCGGATGAGCTGCATTGTTGCAGAACACACTGTAGTCTCACTTGGTGGTGGGTCCACTGAGACTGTACCACTTTTGAATGGGTCACTGGGGGAGGGGACTGCTTGGTTTGCATCGTCGGGCAGTGTTGAGTCCCTGCTCTGCTACTGGCCTAGACCTGGTTCTGACCCCCGCCCCCCGCTTGTGTTTTCCTGCTTTCCCTTGTACAGAGACAGGGCAGGGCATTGTTCATGCACTGACCGACCTCAGCAGCCCCGGCATGACCTCAGGGAACGGAAACTCTGCCTCCAGCATCACCGGCACTGCCCCCCAGAATGGTGAGAATAAACCACCACAGGCCATTGTGAAACCCCAAATCCTGACGCATGTTATCGAAGGGTTTGTGATCCAGGAGGGGGCGGAGCCTTTCCCGGTACGGACTACTTCTTTTCCCCTCTTTTTTTTTTTTTTTTTTAATAAGTATACTTTGGATGTGTATTAGAATAGCTTTACATTTCCATGTAAAATTTCTGAAAATGTGAAAAATTTGCTCTTTCCTTGCTAATTTTCCCCCAAAGGAATATCAGAGCCATTTGCTTTCTAGGATTGAGTGTCTTCCTAAGGTCCAGAAGGGGTCAGTGATTAAGAATAATTGGCAAGACCCCTTGGTTGGAAGTTGCCACACAGACTCAGCCGTGTCCCTGCCTGGTGAAGTGCGAACCCCTTGGTTAGAAGGGGTTCACATTGGGGTATTTGGTGCTGCAGGGTGATGGACTTTGGCATTCGGGTTTGAATGCCACAACCCCCAAATGGCAACACGTTGGCTGGTTAGAGAGCAAAAGGAAGCTGTGTAGAAGAGAATTCTCAAGATCTATCTGAATGGAAGACAAGCGAACAGAGTTAACAGCCTGAAGCTTCTTTTCTGGGGACAGAGCCTTGAAAGGGGAGTGAATGAGGGGCACTCCAGAAAGGGGCACTTCATCAAGTGTCTCCAATTAAAGCATAAGACCAAGGGGAAACACAGAAGAATCAAGAACATGGCTCATTAGAACAGCACCCAGAGCCAGCAGTGCACAGTGTGAATTGGTGAGACAGGTGGCCTGCTCTCTAGGTGGGAGGAGCCCAGCGCCAGGTGCACTCCAGCCTCTCTCGTGATAAACTTAACTGGCTGTTAGAGACACAACATCTTCATGGGAGGCCATCTATCTTTTGCACATTCTTTGGATCCACGAGTGGTGTGAATAGTCAGCCGAAGCCTCTGGGCTTGATGAACTGAGATGGGTGGACTGCCCTTCTAAAATGCCAAAAGACAAAAATGCCAAGACAGGTTCTTGTCCTCTTTCCCTCTGGAGGTCGGTCAAGGCCTGGGGCACCTTAGCTATAAGTAGCTCTAGCCCTGTCACATACCTTCCCTCATTAGACTAGGTCCTCCCTTTGGCCCCCTAGAGAAGCTCCAGAACCCAGCTGATCTCACAGGATTGATGCTGATTGGACAGCAGCCCCAGCATCGCCCAGGAGATCTGGCAACCAGGCTGCCTGCACAAAAGGCAACAAAGGGAGTGCACCAAAGAGTGAATCAGCTAGTCTAGGATCCTGGCACCACCGAGGGCCTTTGCTTTCCGGTGTGGCCCAGCGTCCGCGTTTTCCTCTTCTCCTCCGTGGCTGCCTGTCCCTCTGGCTCGGGTAGGGCAGTGGTAAGGGAGAGAACAGTAAGGCATCCAGGAATGGCGGCTGGGTCTGTGTGTCACACATACAGTCACACACAGCCTCAGCTGTGTTCCTGCCCCGTGACGCGTGAGTGCTGGGGCCCGGCCCTTGTCCTGGTGCTGCGGGAAACCTGATCCCTGCCTCCATCTCTGTCCCCTAGACGCTTGGAAAAGTAGATATTCTCCTGACCTCCTAAGCCATCCATTGGTCCTGGGTTGAAGCCATTTCCATCCCTGTGCTTTGGTGGTCATCGGCATCTTGCCTCTTGAGCTAAACAGCAAAACAGGCCTTGAGCAGGGTGTACCTGGATGGTGATACAGGGGCGGGCATCTGTGCCTGGGTGCTTTATACATGTAATTTTGATGAGGCTGGATGGCAAGGAAGCATGCCCACCTGACCCTCATGGCCTCCATGTTGCCTTGTCCCCTAGGTGGGACGCTCATCCCTGCTGGTGGGGAATCTCAAGAAGAAGTATGCACAGGGGTTCTTGCCTGAGAAACTTCCGCAGCAGGACCATACCACCACCACTGACTCAGAGATGGAGGAGCCCTATCTGCAAGGTAGCGTCTCAGACCCTGGATGCCGGGGCTTCTGGCGGGACTGAACAGGACTCAGCAAGGCTGGAAGGTCCTTTCCCAGTATCCACGGAGGGGCTCTGAGCCGGGGAGCGTGTGAACATGTCAGCTGACCAGACTGCCCTGTCCTGTGCCCGCTCAGCCCTGTCCCTAGAAAACGGACGGCAGTTCCTGCCCCTGGGGAACTGAGTGTGCCCTGCCTGTCTCCAGCCCCACTCCTGCCAGCCCCAGGATTCCAAGAGCGGCTTTGCCCGCGTGAGTCACTCGCCAGTTGTAGGCCTGCAGGAGCAGCCCCAGGTGGCTCGTGCCCTTCCTCTACCGCCTCGGGAGCCTGCACTCGGGACGGGTGCCAGCGAGGGCTGCACTTGCCGCACGAGCCACCGACTAAGTGGAGGCGGGACGGGACGCCCACGTAGGCTGCAGAACTCCTGGGCTCTGTTACCCAGGCCAGCAGCCAACTGGACACCTCAAGGGAAGGGCGGGGTAGTTCCAGATCAGTGGTGACAGCATTGAAGCTTTCCCTGTGAGCGCCTGCTCTCTTCCAGGGTCATAAAGAGGGGCGCTGGTTCTTCCCCACCCGTGCTTTGTCTCATAGTCCTTAGAAGCAGAAACTGCCGGGTGTCCAGGGGCCATCTTTGGACACCTTCGGATACTTTCCAGGGGTGAAACCACAGCCCTTCCAAAAATAGCGACAAAGCAGTTTGGCACTCTCCAAGCCGCTGCTGCAGGCAGGACAGAGCAGAGTGGCCCGGGGTGGGGCTGTGGGCAGTCCTGTGGGGACTACTCCTTGTCCGCGCTTACCGATTTTCATGCTTTTCAGAATCCAAAGAGGAGGGTACTCCCCTTAAACTCAAGTGTGAGCTCTGTGGCCGGGTGGACTTTGCCTACAAGTTCAAGCGTTCCAAGCGCTTCTGCTCCATGGCTTGTGCAAAAAGGTGAGAGCCTCAGCCCCTTCCCTTTTCTTGGGATTGCGCCTTGGTACCCAGCTCCTTATTTCCGTGACCTGCCTGGAAGCAGCAAAGAACTCCCATGAGCAGAGCAGGGCAGGCGGCAAGGGTCCAAGGGAAGGAAGCAGCATGTAGCTTGTCGGGCCCTCCTGGGTCCCACTGGCACCCGCCCTTGGCAGCTCCCATCTCCTTAGGGTTTACCGAAGCCTCCACCGGAAGCTTTGCCCAGAGCCACTGCGCTGGCTACAGACGTTTCCTTTGCGAGCGTTTGCGCAGCTTAGAAGACAGATGATCACAGTAAACACCAGCGTTGTTTACTGTGGACCGGCTGTGTGTGAGTCTCTGTGCTGGGTGTTAATATGCATCATGTCATCTGATCTTCAAAGTAATACTGTGGGGCAGGTATTGCTATCGTGCCCTTTATACATGTTAGGAAACTGAGGCACAAGGAGAAGTAATTGCGCCTAAAGCCTTCGAGCTGGGGATCTAGACTTGCTGACTCTAAGCCCAGAGTGATCCTTGTGCCGAGAGGGAAGAGGCCTGAGCCCCCAGAAGAGAGGAGCTCTCTAGGCCCCAGGCAGAGACGCCCTGCACACCAGCTGGAGTAGGGCTGTCCGCAGCCCTCCCTCCCCACAGGCTGCGCTGGAGGGCCTCCCGCACCTCTGCCAACTCTGCCAAGCTGTTCTCTGTCAGGACGGAGGACACTAGTTTCCCGGCCCCGGTGATACGTGGAGTGGAATGTGGCAGCCCTGAGTTCTTACCGTGATCCGAGTTGTGCCAGGCACTTTGCACACGTTAGCTTATGTTATTGCCAGACCGGTTACAGAAAGTGAGTGGTCTCCTCCCCAGCGCTAGATAAGGAAACTGAGGGGCTAAGTGACTTGCCCAGATCCACACAGCTAGTACTGAGTGATGGACTTAGGACTGGGACGAGGAGGCAGACGCAGCTTTTGCCAAGTATCTTGGCTGCTCTTCTCCTCCTGGGCCATTCGCCCTGCGACTGCCCTGACCGCCCTTGTTCCCCGGCTCTGGCAGGTACAATGTGGGATGCACCAAACGAGTGGGCCTTTTCCACTCGGACCGGAGCAAGCTGCAGAAGGCGGGAGCCACAACCCACAACCGCCGTCGGGCCAGCAAAGCCAGTCTGCCAACACTTACCAAGGATACCAAGAAGCAGGTGAGAGGCTGGCAGAGCCTGCAGCTCGTGCTCTCGGGTCCCCACCAACTTCCCTTCCTGACACGACCCGGGACGCCCGCCGTCCTTTTCCGCTGCTGGCATCAGTGCTGCGTCACGTTCTCATCTCTCATGATCTGTCAGGTCAAGCCGTCTCCCCGTGTCCCTTCATAGGTCCCTTCATGTAGACCCATGGGTGCTTCAACTTTCCCTCCTCCGTGACCTTGCCCCGACTTCGCCCCTTTCTTCCAGTTTGCCTCCATCCTTGACTTCCGGGGCTCCCCTGCCTGAAGAGACAGGCTGTCCCAGGTAGCACCTGCCTTCCGAGGAGGGCTAGGTGAGAGGCAGCCGACACCCTTTACTTCCCCTCCTTGTTGCCTCTCTGAACATCAGAGCACTGAGTCCTTGAAGGTCTCTACCAGGAACGCGGGTGTTTGTTCATTAAGTATGTTTTAGCACTGGCTGTACGTCAGGAGCTGTTAGGCACTAAATCTCTTAAGTTGTGCTCCAGGAACTCAGAGCCTAGTATGATGCTTCAGACCTTATGTGTATTTTGCTGTTTATTGTTATTGTTTTGGCCATAAACCTCTTTAAGAATCTGATGAAAGCTACAGTCCAATATAGACACACACAAGAAAATTTACATGCTATTTCAGGTGGTTTACAGACCATCCCCCTAAACCCATAGAGCCCTGGTTAAAAACCCCACATCTAGAAGAAAGAATAGACGTAGAATCAGATCATTGCAGCATAGTGTGGTACATGCTCCAGTACTGGCACTGACTCTGCTTAGGATCAGAGAGGGGACGTGGCAAAAGATGCTTTTTGATCTCGAATTCAGATACATAGTAGCAGACCACGTAGAAAAGGGAGAATATACCTGCCTTTGCCCAGCGCTCTGTTAGAGGTGCTTTATGCCCCCATCCTGAAGAAAACCGTTTCTCTGTGCTCCCAGCCAGCAGGCACTGTACCCCTCTCAGTTGCTGCCGCACTGCAGCTAACACACAGCCAGGAAGACTCCAGCCGTTGCTCCGACAACTCAAGCTACGAGGAGCCCCTGTCACCCATCTCAGCCAGCTCATCCACCTCCCGCCGGCGACAAGGCCAGCGGGACCTGGAGCTCCCTGACGTGCACATGCGGGACCTGGTGGGCATGGGGCACCACTTCCTGCCAAGCGAGCCCACCAAATGGAATGTGGAAGATGTCTACGAATTCATCCGCTCTCTGCCAGGTAAGGTCCTTGGAAGTTCCACGCCTGCCTGGAGTAGCAAGGAAAGCAAGGGTGTGAGAGGCCTCACCTGCCGCCACCAGGAGAGACCGGGCAGTTCAAGGAGAGGCTTGGGTTCAGGAACGGGGTGCGGGGTGGGGGGCAGAGATGAGTAGGAGGAGGTGCCTGCCGGTAAGAGCTCACATTCTAGCATGGAGCGCCGACTGTAATGTTCCGTGGCTGTAATCTGCCGTATCTGTGGGCTCGGTGAGGGGCCTGTGTGAAGGTGATGACATGACCAACCCTGTGTGTCTCCGGGATGAGTTGGGAGGCGTGTCAAGTGGGAGTGGAGGAAATCGGTCAAGGAGAACGTTAGAACGAAGAACGTTTACACTGAGTGACGGTGGACAAGCAGGCCTGTGCCGGATGGAGAGACGGCATCAGGGAGCAGCCTAAGCAGAGACACGCAAGCATGTAAAGGAGCCGGTAGCTGCACGTGACCCTGGGTGCGCAGTGCCGGTGGTCTCGAAGGTAGGATCTAGAAATGAAGCTTGAAAGACCTCCCATCTGCATGGCTGCACTCGTCGGGACCAGAGCTTCTCCACTGTTTCTTCTGCCAGTCTCACCCAGCCACTGACCAGGTCAGGCAGTGGTGACCATGAGCCCGTTCACTCAGAGACCAAAGTGGGATATAGTGGTTAAGAGCAGGCTTCGGAGTTAAACAGAACTGGGCTCAAATCCTGGCTCTGCCGCTTAACCCAGCGTATTATCTATTGCTGCATCCCCCAGATTTGTTATGGCACAGGTCATGTGGATAAGGAATTCAGGAGCGGTTTAGGCGGGCAGTTCTGCCACAGGGATTCTTAGGAGGTTGTGATGAGGATGTCGGCCAAGGCCAGCCAAGGCCATGTGAAGGGTCACCTGGGGCTGTCAGATCTGCCAGGGTGCCTCACTCACACGCTTCCCAGGGAGCGTGTGGCTGCTGGCAGGAGGCCTCGGTCACTCTCCCACGGGTCTCTTCAGAACGCTCACGCTTGAGTGTTCTCGTGACGTGGCAGCCAGTTGTCCCCCCAGGGGGTGATCCAAGAGAGCAAGGTGGAAGCCACCCACCATGCCCTTTACGATCTAGCCTCAGAAATCACATTCTGTCACTTCAACAATATCTTGCTGACCACACAGGTCACCCCATTCATTGTGAGGGACTCATGAAAGCATGAAAGGGAAGCAAGGATTATTGGGAGCTACTTGGAGGCCGGCTACTCCCATAGTTCACCCCAGTGATTCATGTTCCTCCCTCATGCAAAATACCCTCACCCCTACCCGAGGCCCCACAAGTCTCATCCCATTACAGCGGAGGTTCGAGGTCCAGGATCTCAGCATCTAACACAGGTCCAGGCACGGATGAGGCTCACTGGGTCCAGCTCCTCAGGGATGATTCCTCTCAATCTGCAGACCTGGGAACGAGGAACGGGTTATCCACTTCCCTCCACAAACCTAGGATATGGTGGGATGGGCATCGGGTAACCACGGTAGACGTGCCCATTCAGGATGCCCCGTTCAAGAAGGGAGAACACAGGAGGCTACAGGAGTCACCAGTCCATACCAGGGCATGTGTTGGCATTTCCTTGGTTAGGACTCAAAGCCCGGAGTGATTCTCTTTCGCTCTTGGTTCCACCCTGAGTCATCCTTCCTTTCCCATGAAAGGCAGCCTGTGGAGTTGTTTTCTCAGCCTGCTTCCTGCTGCTTTTATTTCACATTACCTCTCATCCTTTCCGTCCATGTGAGCAGTGTTTCTGCCAGACGATTCTCTCTTACTCTTTGTGGGCTTTTTATGAATGTTATCCAACAATGTCTTCAAGACAAGCCTTACTCCACATTAGGTTTCTTCTGAAGCCGAGGGACAGTGCCCTTAACAGTCTGAGGAGCTGGGCCGTTGAATGGAGAGGCTCTGTGAGGCACGCCCATAAAATCCTGAGAGAGCGTTTGATCCAACAGTTCTCTGAGGCGGCACCTTAGAGCTTTCTGCAGTCTTAACAAAAGATTTAAGTCACCCCCGCAGTTTTGTCTTTAGACTGTGTCTTTTTGACTGTGTCCTGGATTTGGTCTTTGCCTAGAAACCATTTCTTAATTTTAGCATCATTTGCCATCTGGAGAGGCTTAGGAGTTTCAAAATCAGCAAATCCAGGCTCCTTCCTGTTCTCGTTTTCCTCGACCTCGTCCCTCCTCGCGTTTCCCACGGCCGCGGTGGGAGGCCAAGTCGTACCTGCAGCAGTCTGCCTGAGGTCTCCTGAGCCCAAGCAACGTTCAGTAGGCGTCTCATGCCCACGGGGTTACCACCAGCAACAGTGTTGCTAAATTTTCTACTATTTCATAACAAGGATCCCTTTTCTTTCAATTTCCAGCAAGTTTCCTCACGTTCCTTTAAGCCTCTCCAGCAGTTTCCTCCAAGACCATCAGGCTTCTCACTCCCGTCTCTCAGGGAACCTTAGACCTTCACTGCCGCTCTCCTCAAAGTCCCTCCAGCTCCGGCCCGCTGCCAAGTCCAAGGCCACGCCCGCGTGGTGAAGGTGTGGTGATGGCAGCACCCATCTTCCAAGTACCCAGATCTGCATTGGTTACGTACTGCTGTGAAACAGATTACTCCAAGACTAGTGGCTTCAAACAGTAATCACTTCTTACCTCGAGAGTTCTGTGGAGCGGCTTAGCTGGGCACGGAGTTATCTTTCAAGGGCTCTGTCACGATAGCAGCCAGAGCTGCAGTTTCTGAGGGCTTGGAGCTGGAGGACCCCCTTCCAAGGTGCTGCGCTCACATGGCAACGGGGAGCTGGCTCTGGGCAAGAGGCCTCAGTTCCTCTCCAAGTGGGCTGCTCCAGAGGGCTGCTTGAGTGTCCTCACGACACGGTGGTTGGCATGTTCCAAAATAAATTATCCAGAAGACCAAGGTGAGGCTGCCGCGCCCTTTGTGATCCAGCCTGGGAAATCCCATGCTGTCACTTCCACAACCCTGTACTGATCTCCGGGGTCGGCCCAGTTCACTGGCGGGGGGTGGGGGGGTTGAACAAGGAGGTGTCGGGTCACAGGACCGCCTTAGAGTCTGGCTACCTTGGGTAAGTCACTCAGCCTCTCTCAAGCTGTAGAATAAGAACAGCAACACCTCCCTCGAGGTGTGGTCACGAGGATCAAGTGAGATGATGCATCTGAAGGCAGTGACTGCCAAGCGTGACCGCTGGTAGCTCTCATTGATACTGTCTTTGGTCATGTCCCCTCAGGCTGCCAGGAGATAGCAGAGGAATTCCGTGCCCAGGAAATCGACGGGCAAGCTCTGCTGCTGCTCAAGGAGGACCACCTGATGAGCGCCATGAACATCAAGCTGGGGCCCGCCCTCAAGATCTACGCGCGCATCAGCATGCTCAAGGACTCCTAGGGCTGGCCGGGCCCCGGGCTCTTCCTCCCGACTGAGCAGAGCCAGCGGACACTCCTGGGGGCCCTCCTCTGGCTCTCAGGGGCCTTTCTGTGGGAGGGGCGGAGAGGCGGGCGGCACGGAAGATGGGGCTTTATGCTTGTACATATTGATAGCACTGCTTCCTCCGAAGTCCCACTACGCTAGCCCCGCTCTCTTCCCCTCCCTCTGTCCCCCATTTTCCAGGGGGTATACGGTCAGGGCTCCCAACCTGAGTTGGGTTACTTCCAAGGGCAGCCGTCAGGCCTGCCTAGAGGCCTCGGAAGCCCTTGCCTGCCTTCCTCCACTTATTTCTCCGGGCCCAGCTAACTCTTCCCGCTGCCAGCTTCTCCCACTGCAGCCTGTTTCTGAAGCAGCCAGAAGGGTTCTCCCCCCTCACCCTCTACAGGTGGAGGGAGAGAAGCTGGGCCCAGTTTGGCCACGCCTGCTGGCACAGACGCCTTAACGCTGTGTGTGTGACTGTGTGACCGTGTGGGAGCCTGGACTGACAGGCCGAGAGCCACCCTCTGGTATCTCCAGGTGTTTTGTAGCAAACAGCCACTTAGTGCTTTGTCCTGGACTCCACTCAGCCTCAGGATGGGGAATAGGAAAGAAGGGCCGCCTCAGCGCAGAGAGGCACGATCAGAAAGCGATGAAGAGTAGTGGGAGATTTTCCTTTCCAGATGGCCGAGGTGTCTCCGCAGCCCCTTCCCGCACTGTGACGTCCCCCTGACTGCCCTGCTGTGTCACAGGCGGCACTGAGGAAGCTGCTGGTGGGCTGGGCCAGGCCGCGCCTCCCCGTCTGCCCACCCGCCCGCCCTGGGAGCCCAGCGGTGGGGCCGTGGGAACATCCAAGGGCAGAAGAGCTGGAGTGACCACCGCTGAGGTGAAGAAGGCAGCCTTCGGCCTCGGGTCCCACGCTTCTCTGCCTCTGGAACTTGCTGGCAGTGGTCTGAGCTGCCCGTGGAGGAGGCGGGGCAGGAAGGGCGAGGGCCTGCCTCTGACTTGCCCGGGCCTCTGCAGACTCCTGGGGGGAGTGGGACTCTCCCTGGGGGAAGGGTGGGTGCCCTTCTGAGCTTGTTCTATTCCCCACTCACACCCCCAGGCAGGGTTGGAAATGAAGGACTTTTTTAACCTTTTTGTTTTTTAAAAATAAATCCATAAAATCTGTTCCTTCTGTGCCTTTCTCCCCTGGGGATGCCTTCTGTGGTCCTGAATAGCTACTTTTCATCTGTCAGGAGAGGGGTGGGTCCCTGGGTTGGGGGAGGGACGACCACCTTAACTGGATAACATATCCTCCACGTTTCGCTGGGGCTGGGTCCTTTGAGGGTGCCCTTGGTCCCAGTCCACACGAGAAAAGCAGATCCCACCTCTGTTCTTCACATGGGTGTCCCCTGGAGTGCGAGGTCCAGGGCCCCTTCAACTCTGAGCCCCCCTACCCAGCACTGCCACCAGGGAGACACGATGCTGTTGGGCCAGGGATATCTGGCACACCTGAGGCAGAGCCCAGACCCTTCCCTCCGCCGCAGACACCTGTGGTGGCTGGCTGCAGCGCCCCATCCAGAACTGCCCTTGAGGTGGCTTTGGCTCACTCGACCCCTCAGCGCTTTCTGGATGCTGCAATAGCAAACTATTAGGAGAGTCTCTGCCTCAAGGAGGTGACGCCTAAGCCTCGAATAAAGGAGAAGGGCCTTCCAGGCGCAGACCGCTCACCGTTCACTCAGTCTGTGACATGCTGTAACGGCAGGGCCCGGGGAGATAAGCAGGGACCTTTTAAGAGCCAGTACCCATATCTGGACGAGAACTCTCTGGAAGGCCTTTTAAAATGTAGCCACTACCCGGAGGAAGAGGAGAAACAAAACTGGCTAGTGGCCGACCCAGAGGGTGGAGCCAGGACTGGAAAGTCTGGTGGTCCCGGAGGTCGGGAATGGCGACGGGACAGAGGCCAGTGCAGGACCCTGGGCCGAGGGGGAGTGGCAGGGGGCAAGGACCTCAGAACCTCGGGGAAGTCGGGGAAGGTGCCTGGTGGAGAGGGCGCCTAGGGAGCCCCCTGCGCTGCCCTCCCCTCTCCAGGCCAGGCGGGCCGGCCCACCGTGGCCCGTGCAGCTCAGCGAGTCCACGCTGGACCTCCACTTTCCCTTACTGGAGGACAATGTCGGGCCCAAACTGAGTTTGTCCTTATGTGTGTGGTGGAGAAGGGAACTAAAAGCCCTGAAAGAGGATATGGTGGATTTGCAGGGCTGACTGACACAGGTGAGTATCAGTGCCGTTTCTTCACTCGGGGTGAAAGGCCCCAGTTTGAAGGATGCCTCCTTCAACACGCGTTTGCTCCTGAGAGTTACACCTTACACAGAATTTTGCAAAACTTTTTTGATCATGACCGACAGTTTAAAAAAATTTTCCCACCCTCACGTATGTACTTGAATATATATAACTGAAACAAAACAATCACAAAACAATACCTACCCTGATGTACAATACATTCTGATATTTTCAATTCCCTTCCTGTTCATATTTTTAAAATCTCAGTCATGATCCATAAGATTGATTTCATGGCCCTCTAATAGATCATAACCTGCACTTTAAAAAAACCCTGCCTAGTGCAAGCTTTCCAGAACTTTTCCATGTAACTACCTTGTGTGGCTCTTACCCTGTCCTGGGTGATTGGTGCACGTACCTGTTTTACTGAAGAGATCAAGGGCTCCTCAAGGTGAACTGTCCAAGGTCACACTCAGGTGACCGGCGCCCTTGAGATCTGGCTGAAGGTCCGCTCAGAACAAGGTTCTCCCTGGGTGGCAAACACCACAGTCTGGCCCGAGGACCATGACACTGAAGAGGGGCACGAGGAGCCCTGGGGAGGAAGAGTCAGTACAGAATGTCTCAGCACCTCTGGCCAACCAGAGCTGGCCTTCCATCCACCCTCTTCCAGGTGATTGGCCCCAGGGGGCTCCTCTCCGGGTAGTTCATCCCTGCTTGCTCCTGTGGCTGTGGTTTCTGGCAGATGGCCTGAAACTGCTTGGCCCCAGTCACCAAGAATGGGTCATTTCTTCCCCGGCTCTGAGCTGAGAAGGTTCTTGGCAGGCTGTCCCACCAGCTTCCTGTCATGGCAAGGACTCAGGTGAGGGGGGGACGCTGCCAGTAGCAGGGGGAAGATGAGGCGGGACAGCTGTCCCGAGAGGAGTCCAGCCTGGTGGCCAGAACAGTCAAGGAGGAGGCACCAAGGCTGGCCTGCTGAGAACCAGCTGAGCCATATAGGTCCTGGGAGAAGGTGACTGGAGGACATCGCCCAAGGGGTACAGACGGTCCAAGGAATGGGTGGTGGGGTGGGGGGAGGCTGCATCCTGGGAGATCTCGTGCCCGTGAAGAGCTCGGCGACTCCTCCTGCTGCCCTAAACTCTGAGCCCCCTCGGTGAGCAGAGAACAGACTTTGGGGCGCACCTTCCACTGCAACTGTGAGCCCTCTATTCCAACTGGGATTGACTGTCCAGGATTGCAAACTTGTTCCCACTTAGGAACTAATGACTGATCTTCAACCTCTTCCTGAAAGCAAGGAGAGTACAGGAGCAGGACATGAGGCCACCTTGTGGGACCACCTTCTGCAGGTGGAAGCGGGGTGGAGGGGAGGGGACCCTTTTGAAAATATCAGAGCAAGGAACTGGAAGGAATGGGTCAGGCAGGTGCCTCTGTGGACTAGGGGCTCCCTGGCTGGGCCATGGGAGGGGGCGGCAGGAGCCTGTTGCAGGCCTGGGTGTCAGCACCCTCCCAGGACTGACAGCTGGAGCCCACCTGGACCACTTGGGGACAACTCTGCATGGCTGCCCTAGTTGTGAGGGGCCGGCTAAGAGGGTCAGATGGCAGGGAGGGCAGAGAGAGCTCCGCTGCAGCCTTCTCCTGCCCCAGCACCTCCCATGCCGTCCCTCCGGGGGGGCAGTCTCGCTTCCAGGAGCAACTGTAAAATATCTCAATAATTTTTATATCGATTACATATTGAAATGATATTTGGGGTTACATATTGAAATGATCTATTAGGTTAAAATAAAATACTAAAAATTTCGGTTGTTTCTTTTCACTTTTTTAACATGGCTACTACTAGAAAATTTTAATTTACGTTCCTGGCTCACATTATATTTCTATTGCGCAATGCTGTTCAGATTCTTTCCTACGTTTTTATAAAACAACATAGAAACACGTCTGTAAATGCACAGGTACACAGGTAGAGGGGCTTCCCCCCTCACAGAAGCGCAGCCAGCCTCTATGTACAGTTGTTACTTCCTCTTCCACTTGATTCTTTAGGCCCTTTTCCCGAGAGCACATATAAATCTACTCATCCTTTTCAGTGGCCACGTTGCTTTCCATTGTATAGAAATGCATAATTCATTCATCCAACTCCCTAAGGACGAACAGTGGGGTTGTTTATCTCCATTTGCTTTTTCCAGCAATGCTAGGAGAGCATCCTTGGCCTGCCCACTGTGAAGTCTCCGTTTCTAGAGGTGGGAAAGTTGGGTCTGGTGTGAGTGCTTGAAATGATTTTGCAGGCTCCTCAGGCAGGGCTGAGAGAGGTGGACTTCACCTTGCAGTCACTAGAAAGGCTTAAAAACACTTGTTTTTCCTAAATGGCTAACTCTGTATTTTTCCTTCATTAAAAAAGCAATAAAAGCACATTACGGACAACTGGGGGCACAAATAAAGGGGAACAACCCTCCCGTAACTTATTACACAGTCACTTAAGTTTTTCCTTCCAGTCTTATTCGCTCAGGCATGTTTTCATTGCTAGATTGTAACCACAGTGCCCATCAATTTTAGATCCTGCTTTCTTCATTCACGGTTCTTGTGCAAGTTTTTTCCATGTGACTGCAGACTCTTCATAAAAAGTTTATTTAGCCAGTCCCTTCGGCTGGATGCTGGGGCCTTTTTCAGTTGTATCTGAGAAGGCAGCACAATGCCTTCTCCACTGGTGCCCTCCAGCCCACGTTCAACCAAGCTCAAGTCTCCCTGTGTGAAAGAAACACACGCACCTCCATCAATCCCAAGCCCTCAGCTCCTCCAGTTACCATCCTCTCCCTTTCCTTTTACAGCCAAACTTCCGGAAAGAGCTGCTTCCACCACCACCACCCCAGCCTCCACTGCCTCCTCTGCTCACTCAGTCCCCTGCCCGTCCCCAACCGTGTCCTCGGTGGGTGCCTGGGCCCTGGCTCTCCTTCCTCTGCTCTCTCCCTCTTCCACAGCGTCCCTGCCCTCCTGGTGAATCCCAGAACTCTCTCCCAAGCCTGCCTGCCTGCCTGCCTGCCTTCTGAGCTCCAGCTTCTTACCCCCAACCGGACTATCAGCCACCATCTCCTTTCCTGGTCCCCCAGCCCTGTCCCTCTCATCAGTGACCAAGTCCTGCCCATCAACCTCCTTGACAGCCAGTCATCACCTACTCCTCCCCAACCCACTGCCAACACTCACCTGTCTTCCTGCCTCCACCTGGTCCCTGCCTCATGTCCAGGCTCAACAGTTCAGCTGGAGTATCTTCCAAGTAAAAATGTGACAGCATCACTCCCTGAAGGAAAGAGCTTTCAGGGCTCCCCACGGCCTTCAAGATGAAGTCCAAACCCCTTATCCTGGAATGTGGGCCCTGGGTTACCTGGCTCAGGCTTATCTCCAGCCTCAACTCTTATCACTTCCTATCCACACCCTATACCCCGCCCCTGCGGCAGGCCTGCAGTCCCCCGTATTTTCCAAGCACTCTCACCTCGTCACTTTTACACAGTGCTGTTTCTTTTTCATGGACCTCCCTTTCCCCTCCACTGCCTTCTTTTTTTGCATCGGCAGGCGGATTCTCAACCACTGCGCCACCAGGGAAGCCCCACTGCCTTCTTTGTGTGGATAACTTTTAGTTCTTCAGCTCCTAGCTTAAGGGTCACCTCCTCCAGGAAGCCTCCCTGACTTCTCCCCAATGGTATCTTGCCATTTGCAAGATAATGGTATCTTGTATTTACACGAATCACAGCCTTGCTGTGCTGTGTTCCATTCATCTGTTTGCAGTCTGTCATGTGACCCCATTCCCCTCCCTTCCTGGCCACCCATATCTTCCTGGCCCGGCTCCCTTAAAGACAAGGTCTGTGTCTCGCTCACCTCTGCATCCTTGACCTAGCACAGTGCTTGATTCTGAGCCTGTGACCAATAAGTACAGGCTGAACGCATGAATGAGCAGAAGCTGGTGAACATCTTGATGCATAAACTTTTCCCATGCTGAAGATGATCTCCTTTGAACAGATTCCCAGAAGTTGCAGTGATTGGATTAAATGGGATGACTATTGAAAGCTTCAATTCCCACAGCTAAGTAGCTTTCCAAAAAAGCTGCAGCAATTTACATCCCACCAGCAGGTGTAAGAGTGCCTGTCTCGCTGTATTCTCCCAGTGTGGCTATTTTCATTTCTTTCTTTTTAAAAAGTGCTCATTTTATGGGCAAAACATCCCACCTAGTTCTAATCTATAAGTCTTTGATTACTGGTGAGGGTGAACAGTCTTCCATATGTTTGCCTACTAAATGCATTTCCCCTTCGAGGATTTCCCTGTTCATGTGACATGGACAGTTAAGGCAGGTGGTATTTTATGAGCTGACTCTGGGGGCTGTGTCAGGAGTGACTGGGAGCAGGGAGGTCGCTGCTGCAATGGTCCTGGTGGGGGATGAGCAGGCAGGATCACTGTGGGGGCCAGAGAAATAGGAGGGGCAGAGGGGGGCGGAGATCAAGGAGGCCAAGCCAACCACCCACTCCTGGGGACTGACAGTGGGCGAGGCAGAGGGAGGGGTCAGTGCACCCAGGTTTCACCAGCTGAACAGAAGGGGTGTCTACCCTGAGATGCACAGGCAGATACGTACACACACAACCGCAAGGTGCCCCTCTGAGCTATTTACCGGATACGCCTGCTGAGGAACGGTGAGCTGGGGTAGCAGAAAAGGCAGGGGCGGGAGGGTCTGATCAGGCAGGCTTCTTGAAAGAGACCAGAGGAGGCAGATTTTGGAAGGACTCATAGGGCAGGGAGGGGAGCTGGGAGGCTGTGCAGAGAATCCTGAGGGCTTGTTTAGGAATACTACTACTAATGATAATCAACAATAGCTAAAGCTTACTGACCTTTTCCTGTGTGCAAGGCCTTGTTCTAATCACTTATAGGTATTAACTCAATATCCATCGCAGCTCTCTAAGGTATGTATTCTTATTATCTGCATTTCTAGACAAGGAGACTAAAGTGCAGAGGCCCAGAACCTTGCCCAAGGTCAGACAGCTAAGAAGTGGTGGCCTGGGATTCGAACCTGGGGGTCTGGCCCCAGTGGCCAGGCTTTCACCATATGGGTCCTGTCTGTCTAGAGACACCAGCACCCAGAAGGGCTGAGGAGAGTTGGAGGAGACCCCCCGAGAGGAGCTTATTAAAATTCTCAACTTGTAGGGCCCTTCTGGAAAACAAGCAACCAGGCACAAATCCCAAAGTCCACCTCCTCTGAGCCAGCAGTGGGGTCGCTGAGCTCTGCTGGAGGGACCCGGCCCTGTGACTGGAGCCGCCATAGACACGTGGTCCCTGACCACAGCCGGCCCTCTGGGCAGCCCAGCAACTCATCCCTAAGCCCCAGACGCTCTCTCCCAGCCACCGAGCCACAAACCTCCCTGCATCCCCTCCCAGACTCTCCCCTGTCCGAGGTCAATCCTACCCAGGCTAAGTGCCCCAACCCCTAACTTACTGTCCCCCAGGTTTGCTGCCAGGAAAAGCAAAATGTTATACATCTAAATGCTCATCACAAGGGACCTGGTCAAGTAAATGATGCCACCTCTAGTCAATGGCATATTAGGCAGCTGGAAAAAAGGGTGAGGAAGCGCTTCACGTACTGAGGTGGAACAACCTCAAGGACATAATGGTCAGCGGAAAATGCAAGGTGGAGAACAGCGTATCACTGTGCTACCATTTGTGGGAGAAAATCAGAGGAAGGGACAGAGGGAAGGGAGGGAGAATTTGCTACCATATTTATATTTGCCTGTATGTGCATAAACTATCCCCTTGCAGGGGAACTGGGTGGCCGTGGCTGGGAACAGGAAGGACTGCACTGTCTATACTCTTTTGTACCTCTGAATGTCTGTGCCAAGTGAACAGAATAATACATTCATATTAAAGCGAACAAATAAATGGAACGCTGAATTACCTCATTTTTCATATATATGTGTGTGTGTGTATAAAAATATATGCAGAAATGAGTTGCTGACCCCCCCTCCCCACCCCCCAGGGCCTGGAAGAGAATCTTCTGATCCTATCTGCACTTGGCCTCTTAGGGCTGCTCCTGCACGGGCTCCCTGTAGTCAGGTACAACCCCCTTCCCCCAGCACTTGCGATGGGACCAGCAGGGCAGGGTTGAAGTGGTTCTTTCCAAGTGCCTCCTTGAGGGATGGAGAGTGGCACCTGTCATGGCCCGCACAAGCGTCCTTGCGGGCTCTCCTTCCTTGTAAGGAGCAAAGCGACAGGGCTCCTGGGCAAGCCAGCATGCCCCTCACTGATGCTCCCACCCCACAGGCACCTGGGAGTCCTCACACCCATGGGGATCTGCCCTTTGGCCAGAATGCCCCTGCTGAGAGACAACTTCACAGGTCCCCTGCATCCTTGGTAAGGAGCTGCCATCTCTCCCATTCCAAGGACACCCACACACCCTACAGAGCTCTGCCCCAGCGTTCCTGCCCTCCTCACATCCCCCACCCTGGCAGGGCTAGGCACTCTACCCAGGGGCCCCATCAGGTAACACATCTCCCCCTACTCCGCTGGATCTGGGAAGAGATTTCTAGGGGCAGGGCCTGGGTGTGACCCATCTGTGGGTCCCTAGGGCCCAGGACTGCGGAGGTGGCGGTGACCATGCAGCAAGCAGGAAGATGAATGGACCTCTCTCTCCATCCCTGCCCTGGCCAGGGCCCGGCCTGAAGTCCTGACCTGTACCTGCTGGGGGGCCCCCATTATTTGGGATGGCACCTTTGACCCAGATGTGGCCCAGCAAGAGGCTGTACAGAACCTCACCATTAGTCTGACTGTCTTTGCTGTAGGCAGGTAAGGCCCGGGGAGGGGAGCGGTGCTATCCAAGCAGGGAGTGGGAGGGGGTGTGCACGTGATGTAGGGGTGGAGCACCCCATTCTCCTGGGCTTTAGGATCCCAGGATAAAGCGAGAAGCAAAGACAACACCCCTTGTCCCAGACTCCCAGCATGAGGGCAGGACCATCCTTTCCCTTCCCCTCCTCCCCGGAGTCCACCCAGCCCAGGCAGCCAAGGGCTCAGCATCACAACCTGGAAGGAACCTGCCCAGGGCCTGGGGCTGATCACCTGAAGGGCTTGGGTTTGCGGTGAGAAAATGATGGCGTCTTTCAGGTGAGAGGAGGTGAGACCTGGGTAAACAGAGGGGATGGCCCAGCTGCAGAAGCGTCTGTGGAGGTCAGCGGCTCAGGTGCAGGCACACAGAAAGGGCGGGGCGGGGGGAGGTTCGCCAAGAAAGTCTGAAGGTGGAAGAGGGGCTGGGGAGCTGAGGGCTTTTGCGAGGGAGCGAATCTGGGCTGGATAAAGAGGGATGTGAAGAAAGGAGGATGCGGAGAGTGGTAGGGTCAGCAGACCAGAGGAGTCAGTGAGGAAGTACTGTTGGGGGTGATATCACAGGAAGTGGGCTGGAAGGACGGGGGCTCAGACAGTGGGACGGGTGAAGCCGCAACTTGGGGTGGGGGGCAGACTGATGATGACCAAGTCGAGGGAGAGGCCATGGGGGCAAGTGACTGAGGAGCGGGGAAGACAGAATCACGACAGGAGAGGAGGCCAATCGAGGAACTAAGGGGCCCCCAGGTATGGACAAGGAACCCAGAGTGGGAGGTGGAGAAGAAACCTCAGGGGGCTGACCTGCCCATCTCCCCATTATGGATGTCAGGGTGTCCAAACTGGTATTCACTTTCCAGTAGAGATGCAAATGGGACTCCTGGCTTAGAGTGGCAATCAGATCCTACAATCCTAAGGTACAGAGAGATAGAGTTCAAGGCAACTTAAGGAAGAGTTTCTAATAATGGAACAGGCTGCTTTGGGAAGGCACTGAGAGCTCTGCCTCCAGGAAAAGATATCCAAAAGCCTGGGGAAGGAATTCTGTCTTCAGAGACCCCAGACCAGCGGTCACCAACCTTTTTGGCACCAGGGACCAGCTTCATGGAAGACAATTTTTCCACGGACCAGGGGTTGGGAGAGGGGGGAGGGGATGGTTCAGGTGGTAATGCAAGCGATGGGGGCAGATGAAGCTTTGCTCACTCACCTGACGCTCACCTCCTGCTGTGAGGCCTGGTCCGCTGCCCGGGGGGTTGGGGACCTGTGCTCCAGGCAACTGCTCAGGGCTCCTCCAACTCCGTCCCTTTCACTCTAGAAGGGAGGGAAAGCCAGGAGGGCCCCTGAGAGGCTGGGGTCAAACAGGACTGCTGGCCTCTCCAGGGCCTTGGCGTTCCCACTTCTGCTCTGAATGCTGAGTAGGGTGTTCCTGCACCAGCCCTAGGGGTCAGAGTCTCTTGAGTCCAGAAATTCCAGGGTCCTGAGGTCCTGAGTTCCAAGGATCTATGAGTCCAACACCCTGGGATGCTGAGGCTTCCAAGGTCTCTGATTCCAGTTTCTCACAGTTCCACCCGGAATAGAGCAAGCGCAGGTAAAAGTACAGGCTCCAGTGCCAAGCTGGGTTCAAATCCTGGCTTTCACTTACCAGCTATGTGCATGCTTGCTTGCACAAGTTACTGAAGCTCTTTGAGATTCAGTTTCCTCACCTGAGAGATGGAGCTAATAATGGTGAGGATTAAATGAGATAATGCACGTTACTTTGAACACTATCTGCCACATGACAAATGTTCCAAAATATCAGGCATTAGTTCGATTATTTTAGAAGCCTGGGATCCCAAGGCCTGTTCACACAAAGTTTCCAGTATTCTGAACGTCCCGGTTACCTATGTAAGGAATCACCACAAACTCAGTGACTGAAAACAGTCCATTACTACCACAGCTCGTGATTTTGTGGCTCAGGAATTCTGACAGGGCTCAGTAGCAGGGGGCCCCTCCCTGCTCCCAAAAGTCCTGTGGATGACTGGCGGGCGCCTCTCTCCGTGGCTAGGCTGGTCTCCCTCACTTCGTGGCAGCATCTGAGTTCTGATACTTTTTTTTTTAATTTACTTATTTTTATTTATTTTTGGCTGCGTTGGGTGTTCGTTGCTGCCCACAGGCTTTCTCTAGTTGCCGCGATTCGTTGCAGTGCGCAGGCTTCTCATTGCAGTGGCTTCTCTTGTTGCAGAGCACGAGCTCTAGGCGCGTGGGGTTTAGTTGCGGCGCTCGGGCTCAGTAGTTGCGGCTCGCGGGCTCTAGAGCGCAGGCTCAGTAGTCGTGGCGCACGGCCTTAGTTGCTCCGGGGCATGTGGTATCATCCCGGACCAAGGCTCGAACCTGTGTGCCCTCCATTGGCAGGCGGACTCCTAACCACTGTGCCACCAGGGAAGCCCTGAGCTCTGGGACTTCTTAAGCGAAGGGTCAGAGCTCTAAAGAGACAAAGGCTAACGAGCCGGTCCTCCCAAGGGCCAGCACAGCATCCCTTCCTCGGGACTCTATTGATCGAAGCGGTCAGGGAGAGAGCCGCCTTCAAGCGGGGAACAAAGGGCCTCTCCGGGCAGGGGTGGCAAACAATGGGTAATTATTTTTAATCCACCTCGGACGATTCCAGGGCTGGACAGTTTTGGAGTTCCAGGGATTGGGGTTGCAGGGGCACAAGTACGGACGAGGTGAGGCCTCAGAAGCCAGACGTCTCCGCGGATGGCGGAGTGCGCTGAGGCCCGGCTTACTCAAGACGGCCCCGCCCCGCCCGACAGATACCTGGAGAAGTACCTGGCGCACTTCCTGAAGACGGCTGAGCAGCACTTCATGGTGGGCCAGCGCGTGGTGTACTACGTGTTCACCGAGGGCCCGGCCGCCGTGCCCCGCGTACGGCTGGGCCCGGGCCGCCGGTTGCGCTGGCAGAACGTGTCCATGTTGCGCATGCGCGCGCTGCACGCGGCGCTGGGCGGGCGGCTGGGCCCCGAGGCGCGTTGCTTGCGCTGCGCGGACGTGGACCAGCACTTCAGCGGGACTTTCGGGTCCGAGGCACTGGCCGAGTCGGTGGCGCAGCTGCTCGTCTGACACTACCGTTGGGGGAGGCGGCTGCTGCCCTTCGAGCGGGACGCGCGCTCGGCCGCCGCGCTGGGCCCGAGCGAGGGCGACTTCTGCTACCACGCGGCCGTGTTCGGGGGCAGCGTGGCGGCTCTGCGGCAGCTGACGGCCTACTGCGTGCGGGGCCTGCGACGGGACCGCGCGCGCGGCCTGGAGGCGGGCTGGCACGACGAGAGCCACCTCAGCAAGTCCTTCTGGCTGCACAAGCCCGCCAAGCTGCTGTCGCCTGAGTTCTGCTGGAGCTCCGACGTCGGCCACCGGGCCGAGATTCGCCGCCCCCAACTGCTCTGGGCGCCCAAGGAGTACGCCCTGCTGCGCGGCTAGAGACGCCCTCGGCCTGGAGGCCCGAACGCCGGCGGGGGCCCTTCTGGAAGCAGCGTGGCACGGCGGGGGGTGGGGTGGGGTGGCGGGAAGACTGCGTGAATACTACCCCCCACCGCCCGGGGTGGCAGGAGGAGGCCCGGCCTTTGGGGAGCGCCTCCCCGAGGCGGGCGATCCATCCCTTCCCTGACTTTTCACAGCGACCCAGATACTGCCAGCTGCCTGGAAACCTGTCACCTCTGACCTTACTGAGTTCAGTGGAGGCCCCCGAAGAGACGTTTTAGCCCCTTCCCCATATCCCCCCACTTTTTTTAATGGGACTGAGGCTCACAAAGGGAACATAACTACGTAAGGACCCAGAGAATCTGTGAGTCAGTCTGTGAGGTCAGCAGCTGGAAAGCAAGGACTGGCCCTCAGGTCCAATAGAGCTGCCACTGGGCAGGAGCCCCAGATAGAGAAACACAGTGGCATCCGGTTCACCTCCGCCGCCCTCAGCAAAGTTTGTACATATTTAAGTAATATGATAATAAAATACATTATTCCCAAGTGTCCTATGGCCCTTTCTCCTAGAGAATCCAGGTCCATAAAAATGACATTTCCTCGCCATGGGACCCATATGGCTGTTTGGCCACGGTGTCTGGGAAATAAATTTCCTCATCCGTGGCTGCTGTCCAGACTCGTCATCCTCAATAGGGAAAGACACAACGTTCTGAACAGAAGCCTGAAGTCATCAGGCTCTCCAGGAAAGGTGGTTCCCTCCGGGAAATAGCTGCGGGAAAGTTATCTGCTGGAAGTCCCTGAGGCCGGGAGAGGGTGGGACTCACCTCCAGGTCTTCTGACCCGTTTGTGTAGTGTTCTCATAGACCTTGCATTTTTAACAGGCTCCACTATTTTCAGGTAGGGCAGCAATTCTGGCTATAAGCCAACTGTGATGGTTTTCACATAGTAACAGTTTTTACAAACACTTCCAGTTGTTGCTAATGTAACAGATATCTCCCCTCTCCCAAGCAGTTCCAAGGTCCCAGTGTCTCCTGCCTAACTAAACTAGATTAGCAGAACCCAGAAGACCCTTTGGACTCTGGGTTAGAGCTAAGAACAGGCTAGGTGTGCCTAAGAACAGGTTATTGCTTGATGGCTATAGGCTGACATCCCTTCCTCTGGTGGGAGACTGTCCTCCACCTTACACTGCCTGCATCATTCACCAAGGGCCACACACACTGAGCCCTGGGCCAGCAGAGACCTGAGCTCAGGCCAGTAAGATCTGGATGGAAATCTGCTCCTCTTCTGACTCTGTGTGTGGCTGTGGACTAGTTCCTTACCCTTGCTGAGTCTCAGTTTTCTCATATGTAAAGTGGGGATGCCAATCACCCTCCTTGCAGGGGTTGTGATGCTGCAGAAAAAGTTCGTGGAGAGCAAAGGAGTCGCCAAAGGACAGCCATTTCCTGTTTTAAAGAGGAAGTGATGGCTCGAGTCAGGGGTTTCCAGGTGCTGGGCTAGGGGAGCCTCATGCTGTGGGTGGAGACCTTCCTGAGGAGGGGGAGGGGTAAACAGCAGAATAGAGTGGAGGACCTCCTTTGTCTTGCCCAGAGGCCCAGGGTGGGGGTGGGGCAGGCTCAGGTGTAGAGAGGCTCAGGGCAGCAGCAGGAAAAACGGGGGATAAGCTCCTGCCGCTGCTTCCATCAGTGTCCCTGTTAATCAACAGTATCCTCGGCACCCACGCTGGGACCCTCAGGGACCGGGTAAGCTCCTGAGGGCTTCCAGGTGAGCCGGTGAAAATCAGACTCCCAGTCCCCCGAGTGTCACTGCTACATGCAAAATCTTCACCTGTCCAGCCATCCCACCTACCATGCCAGCTCGGATGTCACCCCCCAAAATTCCCAAACATCACCAGCTGTCTAGTCAGGGTTCCTTGATCATAAAGGACATAGATCCATCAGGGCTACATCAAATAATAACAATTACATTTATTGGGTGCTTACTATGTACCAGGCACAGTTCTAAGCCTTAGATATCTATTGGTTCATTTAATCCTCATATGCACCCTATCAATTGGTTACTATTATTTCCCTCATTTTACCTATGAGAAAATCGGGCACAGAGAGGTTAATTAACTTACCCGATGTCACACGGTAACTTATAAATAAATTCACTGATGTGAGAACAAGCAGGAAATTAGAGTGGGCCAGAAGATGGAGACAAAGTCAGGAGCTAAGGTTGCCACTGGCTGGCCCTCAGTCTCCTCTGTCCGTCTCCGCTTCTCTGCCTCCTTTGTCCTTCTGCTTATGTCTGGCCCGACACAGCACCCCGTGCACCCCCCCACCCCCACACACATACAGGATTTTCCCGTTCAGGTGCCCACCATCGCCTAACTTGTTCCTAACTCACTGAATGAGGAATCTGATTGGAGAGTCAGCCAGTGGTGTTGTGGTAAACGTTTAGCAACTGACTCTGAGGAAAACGAAAGATCAACCCTACCGAGGATTTACTGGCTTACGTAACAGGACAGTGCTGGGGTCAAGACAGCTTCAGGGCTCAATGATGTGTCTCCGGCTCTCCACCCGCCTTTGTTCAGACTCAGCTTCATCCTCGGGCTCCTGCAGCAGCAGCAGCTCCAGCCTCACAGCCTCCAGCTAGTCCAGTGATCGAGGAGACCAAGAAGTCCCCTGCACACACATCTTCCCCAAGGGGGTCACTGTTTTGATTGCCTAGGACGGAGATGCAGGAACTCCCCCAGAGTTTATCAAGGCTGGCCCTGTGCTAGCCGCCTCGTGGGAGAGAAAGTGACTCAGCCATGAGCCACCACTGGGAACTCACTCCTCTGAGCCCTCATGGTCCTTGGCTGCGAGTGATGGACGCAGGAAGGGGCATTTCCCTTCTTCCCCGAGTCTTGGGGGAGGGCGGGGGAGGGGAGAGGAGCAGTGGAAAGGTGCCCCCCAGCCCCACCCTCGCACAGAGCACGCCACACACCGCCACCACCCGGCTGCAGGTACAGTTTATTCTTCACAACAGAGAAATACAAAGAGCAGAGGGTTTGGAATTCCTTTGTTTCTTGCCCCCTTTAGTGTCTTCCCCCACGTTTGACTTTTTTTGCTCCCCACCCCTTTCCTTCAATATAACGCACACTTCGTTCCTGAAGCCTTGAGGGGCACCTGCCCTCACCTCCCTGCCACCACGATGCAGACTGAGAAGCCAACAGACTGTTTTCTCTTTTTTAATAAGGTAACTAGTTCTAAATATGGTGGCCTGGAGGTCCCATAGAAAAAAGCAAAGGGGTGTTAACAGTATGTATAACAGCGTATTTACAGGGTAGTAACATGCGGACAAAAAGCTACAATACTGAGTATCAGACGACGCCAGTCAAACAAAGGGGTGGGGGCGGGGCAGAGAACCCCGTGGGAAAAGAAACCCCAGGAGACGTTAAACTGGTAAATCAATGGCGAGTTAAGGCTTAAAAAGTGTATAAAAATAACACAGTTAATATTCAAAACGGAACTCCAGATACAGAATATATAGATGAGTTTCTGTCTAGTTTTCTTTTTTTTTTTTCCCCAGGGGATGTAGGGGGGCTTCTCCGGGCTCTGTACATAGTTCCTATATACACGGACACGCATGGCTTTCAGATTGGGGTGTGTCTGTGGGAGCTGAGGGCAGGGTCTGTTCCCGGGACCCTCCTCCCCGAGGATCCCTTCCCTGCCCAGGGGCTTAGGGCCTGGGCTGGGGATTCCCCTCCATGGCAGGGAAGACAAGTAACCCCTCCTTGGGCACTGCCCCATCTGGAGGAAATTCTGGAGAGGGGGGTCCTTGCCCCAGGCCCACTCCCTCCCCCTGCCCACAGTCTGGGATGGTGGGAGAGGTAGCCAATAGGTTTCTTGGCCAGCACCGAGGTAGACTGGGGTGGTCTTCAGGGCAGCAGGGGTGCCAGGTCTTACCCAGCCCACCCCACCCCGTTTCCCTGGGCCTGCACCCAGCCCAGCCAACACTGCACCCTTTGGTCCTGTGGACCTCCCGGCCCCTCTCATTTCATCTCCTGAAGACTGGGTAGCCCTGGTAGCTGCCACATCCCTCTGCTCAGTGATGCCCAGGGCGCAGCTCTGGAGGCTCGAGCTGGCACCCAGGGGCAAGCGGCTCACTCCAGCTGCCTCCTGCCCCTCCCACCCGGGGGCCCCCTTTGCAGTCCAGAAACCCAGGCTTGAGCCTTCCCCTCAAGACCTGAGGCCGTGGCAAGATAAGGTCCCACGCTGCCCTCTGGTTCTCTGTGTCCATCTGTCCGGTTCTTTTAATTTCTCGGTCTTAGCAGCACCAACTTCTTGGCCAATAAATATCTTTTTTGTTATTTCCAAAACAAACTTAAAAAAAAAAAAAAAAGAACAGTGAAGCAAGTGAAGGGTGGGGAACAAAAGGAAAACCCAGCAGAGAGGTTCAAAGTGCTCTGAGATCGTCTTTGGATGCCACCAGAACAGTCCAGAATCTTGCAGTTGGCCTGGCCGCCCCCGGAGCTGGACCGGGCAGGGCTTCTGCGGCCCAGGCTTTCTGGAAGGTCAGGAAGGTCGTGAGAGAGCTCGGCTGTTCCTGGAGGGCCCCTGGAGGGAGTCGGGGCCTGGTGCTGCCTGGGTCTGTGTCTGCCAGTGGGCAGGGCGGGGCGGCGCCTTGCGTCGGCTCAGATGAGGGAAATTCGCACCGGGATGCCGGGGGACTCCGTCCTCTGGGGCGAGTGATGGCTCACCAGGTGCTCCACCACCGTGTGTTTGGACATGTGCTTCATCAGGTAGGTCTCCTGTGGGCGGGGTGAGATTCAGAACTTACAACCAACTGCTGGCAAGGGGTGCAGGGGGAGCTGCAGTTCCCACAAGCGGCCACTGGAGGGCTCCTTGGTAGGTGGGCCGGCTAGTGATGGACAGCCACAGCTTTGGGGGGTCAGACGGGCATCAGCATTGGTTCTAGGGATGCCGCATCTCTGCCAGCAGTGGGGGCTGGCTTATTTACCAGAGTCCGAGCCCACAGTGTGCTGACTAGAGAGCTGGCAGGCACCAGGCTCACCCCGCAGCAGTGCCCACCTAAAACTCCCTAGGGCCAGGCCAGCTGCTGTCTACCAACTGGCTGCAGTGGAGTCCTGTCCGATTGAGCATAGCTGCCCCCATATGGCTGGTTCTCCCAGTGGGGGCGAAGCGGTAGGCCTCAGTTGACCATGGCTCTGCCATTTCTCAGCAGTGGAATGTTGGACAAGTCATCTTAGCCCTCCAAGCCTCAGTTTCCTCCTCTGCAGGCAGGGATGGGGAAGGAACAACCTCAAAGGGTTGCTATGGTGATGTGGGTAAAGCTCTTAGCAGTTAGGGTTGAGGGGACCACTGCTTCCCTAGTCTCTACATTTCGTTCTAGGTGGTGATGGGAGCCCCAGCCTCTGCACCCCCATGCTCCATCCTCCTTTGGGAAGAAGTGGGGCCGGATCTGATTGGTGACTTTGGGAAGCTTAAACTGGGCATGCTCACCTCATCCCGTGAGCACTGCCACAGACTCTGCTAAGTCTGACCTGAGGCACCCAAGACTGGGTAGGCGAGGTGACCCAAGGCTCACCTGCAGGCCCACAGGCTTTCACACTAAGGTGGTGCTCTGGTTCCCACCTGCCACTCCTTGGCCTCATACCTCAGCTTGCTCAGAATCCGGCAGAGGAAGCCCTCAAATGTGGTGGCAAAGCGCTATCAAACAACAGCGAAGGGCAGTCATCAGCAAAATCCAAACTAGGAAACTATTCTTCAATGAGTAAATTGCAAAGAAAAAAAAAGGCAGTGGTGTTGAGGTGGGGTGGAGGACCAATAGTTTAAAGATATATTGACCCAGTGCAATGTAAGAATTTTATTTGGATCTTGATTAAAAAATAAAATTTATAAGTAAATAAAATTATAAATTATGGCATCCATGAGACAAATGAAAATGTGAATACCGCCTGGGTATTTGACGATATTAAGGACTACGGAGAATCATTTTAAGGTATCATAAAGGTACTGTGGCTAAGTTCAAAAAAGCAGTCTTTATGTTTAAAGACACAAAGTGAAAAATTTTCAGATGGAACAATGTGATGTCAGTTTTACTTCAAAAAACAGGGATATGGATAAGGCAGGATAGACTGATGCCAGGCTCTGGGGGCTGATGGGAACACGAGGGTTCACTATTCTAAAATGTTTCTTTTATGTATTAAAGTAGTTTAAAAGTCAATCCATTAATATGTTTTTTTTAAAAAAAGGTAATTATTCTTGTTCTGTGGGGCCTCAAGCCAGGTGAGATGTGACAGCCCCTTCCCCCCAGAGTTCATATCCCCTCTAAGAACCATGGCTGTGACCGCTGGCGGCCCCTCCTCTAAGAGGGGACGCATATAGGAAGGTGCAATCCATGCGCCCTTCTCTAGCCAAAGTGAACTTTCAGAACTACCTTCCTGGACAGTCCCCTCCCCATGGGTCCCCACTCCACCAGGAAAAACATCCAGGCTCCCTAACAGGGACCGACAGCCTCGTGTGACCTAATTTTCCTTCAGTTCCTGGAACACACCGCGACTGTTCCACGTCGGGGGTGTTTGCATTCCCTGTTCCCCTGCACGGGAAGTCCTTCCCGCTCCACTCGTCCTCACCTGGCCAATTACCTTCAAGGCTTCCTCTAAATGATACTTCCTCATACACCTATCCCAACCCATCTCCCTTCCCCAACTCCAATTTGTACCCCCTGCAGCTGCCTTTCAAAACATACGTTTCCCTTTTTTCCTTTACAGCAGTGGTTCTCAATCAGAGGCAATTCCCCCCCCTCCCCAGCCCAGGGACATTTGGCAAAGTCTGGATGCATTTTCAGGGAGGGGTTGCTAGTGGGTAGAGGCCAAGGATGTTGCGAAACATCCTATAACGCACAGGACAGCACCCCCTCGGCAAAGATGTCAACACGGGCTGAGGTTGAGAAAGCCTGCTTAGAGCAGTTACCACGATTTGTCATTACATATCCACTTGTGTGGTTACTTGTTTAATGTCTGTCTCCAGCAGTGGACTCTAACCTGCCTGGGGGCAAAGAATATGTCTGTTTGATTCATCCTGATTCCCAAGTGCCTGGCACAAGTGTTCAGCAAACACTGGGTGAATAAATCATTGTGTTAGCTAAGGTCTGTCAGGCGCTGACTCTGCCAGCCAACAGCCCTAGAAGTTAAGAACTATTACCTCTTCCATTTTACAGATGAGGAAACTGAGGCTTGGTGATCAGTCTGGGTACACGTGGGCATCTGTTAACCAGAATATTTGGACACACATAGCCAGAAGGACACACAAAAGTGACTCACTTGGACTCCCTCTCTTGGGTGTGAAAGGCCCTTGTTTAGGAAAATTCCCATCCAGGGATGGAGGACTGGCACCTTTCTGGCCCTGTGTGGGCCTTTCCTGGGAGATGACGGTGGCTCTGGGCCAGGTCACTGTGCCCCCTTGTGGGCATGACGGGCGTTGCAGCTTCCCCAGTGGGGAAAGGTCCTTCTCCCTCCCTGGCTCTGGGGAGCAGGTTGCCAGCGCCTCCCCGCCCACCACCCCACACTGCCTGGAAGAAACCACATCTCCAGAAGCCAGGCGAAAGGCTGCCTGGGGAGAGCTCGGCCTGAGGCAGCCGAAAACAGAAGTGGAAAGCAGAAGCCCTGGCTCTGCCACTAACTGTGATCTTGGGAAGTCACTGCCCTTCTCTCGGCCTCAGTTTCCTCGTCTGGAAAATGGGAGCGTCAGTACAGGTCTGAGGAGGGCGGGGAGAGGGAGAGGCTCCCAGGGGCCCCGCACTCACCGAGGTGTAGGCCCGCCCGCACATGCTGCAGCAGTAGGCCTTGGCATGCTTGATGGCATGGGCCGAGAGGTGGATCTGCAGGGAGGCGGAGTCCGAGTAGGCCCGGTAGCAGTTGGGACACTTGTAGGGCTTGTCCTTGTTGTGCTGGCGCTGGTGAGACTGCGGGGAGCACAGCAGGGGTCGGGAGCTGGCTGGACTCCCCCAGCCCCACCCCTCCTTAGGCTCCCCTGGGGAGGAGGGGCTGTGCACCTGGCGGAGGCAGGCCGGCACTCACCTGGAGGTTGGAGAGCTGAGTGAAAGCCTTTTCGCAGCCAGGATGTGGGCACTTGTAGGGTCTGTCGCCTGTGTGGATTCTGCAACAGGCAGCCCAGTGAGGTGGCATCCCTGACAGGTCCCCCAGGCCAGCTCCAGCCCTCAAGCCCTCGGCTAGCCTGCACACCCCTGTGGCCCCCAAGCCTCCCAGGCTCCCCGCTCCACACACTCTCCCCAGAGTGAGCCCCAGGCAAGAGCTGGGTCTTCAAAGGCTACCCGCGTCCTTTCTTCTCTGGCCTCCCACAGCCATTCTGTGACCAGAGCCTCCACGCTCCCCACAGGGCCCCGCTGAACCCGGCCCTCCACCAGCACCCACTCAGACAGCCCGCCCAGGCCCCCGGCTAATCATGGCAGTCTTGCTTTGATGGCATTCTGCCCCTCTTCTAAAAAAGCCACCTGCAGACCACCCACTGAAAAGGGCAGATTCACAGCTTTGCCAGGACCTTCGCTGCCCACCCTGCCTCTTTCTCTCAGGAGACATCACCCTCTAATTGGCCCCCCATTTCTATTTCCTGCCTCTTCCCCAAATGGCTACCTGGTCACCGCAGCTACTGAGAGAATGCAGGACAGGGTGGCCCTGAAAGTCAGCCTCTGTGTCCTTCCTGTGAGCCCCTTTTTGTCCTCACACTGGCTCTACCATTTACTAGCTGGGTGGCCTTGGTCAAATCACTGAGCCTCGGTTTCCTCATCTGCAAAATGGGTATAAAAATACAGTCCCTACTTCACTGGGCTTTGTGAAGATTCCATTAGATAATATGTGGAAGGGGCTTAGCCAAGTACTGGCACAGAGTCAGGGCTCCATCACCACTTGCCAGTATTACTATTATTCATTCATTTAACAATTGTTATATCAGGCACCCGTGTGCCAGGCACCACCCTGGGTGCTTGGAACATATCTGTGAAGAAAACAGAAAAAACCCACTGCCTTGTGGAAACAATGAGCATGAAATAAGTAAGTAAAGTGCGTGTAGAAGGTAATAAGTGCTGTGAGAAGAAGCAGAGCAGGTGAGGGGGGTCGTGAGTGCATGGGGAGGGTACAATGTTAAATAGGGTGGTCGGGGTCCTCACTGAGAAGGAGACTTGGGAGCAGTGACTTGCAGGCTGATGGCCGGGCTTTCTGCTGGCTGTTGCGGCTTGTGCTGGTCCAGCAGCCGGGTGAGGATGGAGGAGGACCAGGATGGGGTGTGGAAACGGGGCTGGGGAGCGAGGCGCACACACCGGGACGGGAGGCCCTCCCTGCTCTCCTAGGCTTGTCTTCAGTCACCTGCTCTGGCAAACCCTGTGCCAAGCAGGTAGGTAATGAAATGCAGACTGGACCTGAACCTCTTTTGCCTAAGCTGCTGATCAGCATTAGGTGGAGGGAGAATCCAGCTCTGACCACCCGGTCTGGCTCCTTCCCTAAAGCCACAGCCCGCCCTGGGTTTGCTCCGCCCATCAACAGACTCGTCAGACAAACTAAGGTCCCCCAGGGCAGGCCCCCATGCTGGCCAGGCTGGAATAAAGAACACTCCCTGCCGTAAGTAAGCCCACGACCTTGACTGCCCACTATGAACAGTGACAGTCTGAATTCCCTAGTGTGCCATTCGAAGCCCTTCACGTGTGGTTCGGCCTCACCTCCCTGCTCCTGCACCCTGCGTCCTGGTCAGAGGACCATTTCTCATCTGGCAACCACGGCTGATTGATGCTTCTGCCCGCCACCCCTGTGTCCTGGCTGCATCCTCAGCAGCGAGGCCGCCCCTCCTCTGTCTCCTCTACTAGACGGAGAACCCCAAAGGCAGAGATGGCTCATCTCAGGCTGCACGGAGACAGGCCAGGTGGAAATGTGCTGGCCCAGTTCTGAGGACCCCTATTCTACCTGCACATTTGGGGGTGTCACGTGTTTGGGGACATCATCCCAGGCTACTGCACCCCATCTCTACAACAGTAGGACCTGAAGGGTCATCTGGACCGGCTCCGCCTGCCGCCAGAATCCCTCCATTTCATCCCATCCTCATTCCCCTCCAGGGCTGTGGAACTCGGTGGCAGAGGGGACCGAGGGACCCCAGGACATGTGCTGATCTTGTTTTAAATTCCACAACGCCCACCCCAGAACCCTCGCCTCCCACTGCTGCCCAAGTCATGCCTCTTCCCTGCCCCAAGGCTCCAGGCCCACCACCTCCCTCCACGCCCCCCGCCCCAGCATTCCAAGTCCCTTCCTACCTTCCATCTGGTATCCAGGCTGATCCTCTCCCAGGCACACTCTTCCCCCAGCTAATGCCTAGCTAAAACCCAGACTCCTGTTCTCAGTATAAAAGCCCCTTGATCGTGGCAGCCTTTCCTGACCCTCCAGACTAGACCTGGCCCCTGCAGCCCACCCCTGAGCAGAAGTCTATGTGTAGGCACGTATTTTGTCAATGTCTAGTCACTGTTTTCTAAGCTGCCTCCCTCCTTGAGAGCAAGATGCCCTTTGTCTCGTTCACCACCATCATCCCAGGGCCTGGCACAGGCTCAGTAGAGAGGACTTGGTACATAGGAAGGTGAGTTCTTTCCTCCTGAAGTCAGTTACTGACAATAGTAATATGTTCCACATAATCAACAACGCCCATTCCTCAAGGGTATTTCACAAGTGTTTGTTGACTGACCGATGGATGGTTCTACAGGGACATCAGGCCCTACCTCAGGACCTTGCTCCTCTGGCCTCCTCCCCAAGTGCCACAGCTGCCCAGGCTCCTTCTTGGACTCCCGGCCTCAGCCTCTCCCCTCCACCACAGCAGCAGCGCAGGGACCTGACCTTGTCATGGTCTCCCCTACTGTCTCCCCCTTCTCCAGGACAGAATCCAAATCCACACCCCCAGCAAGTCTCTGAGCCTTTGCTCGTGCCGTTCCTCCTGCTGGGAACACCATTCCCATCTCTCATGAGAGAGGACTATGGACCCTTCAATCCTTGACTCCGATTATCCTCCCCAACCTCCATTACATACCTCCCCCTTTCACGGAAGTTTTCACATCCACCAGCCTCCCGGTGCATGGTGGGAGTTCCTTTGGCCCAGAGCCAGCCTCTGACCACCGATCTGTCATGCATGGCAGCCAGCACTGGGCCTCAGAAGGGCTTCAGGGAGCAAAGTTTCCCCCTGATAACTGGCCCCTGAGCTCTTCACCCCTGAATTTCAAGTCAAGGCTAAGCCCTCAACCCCAACATCAGAGTCCTCTCTTTGCAGGGCATCTCCCCACTAGGCGGGCACCCAGGCCTGACTCCCGCATCTGTAGTGATGGGGAGCTCCCCACCAATTCCAGGCGCAGGGAAGCTGAGCTGAAATCGGGGCTCCTGGGCTGCTCCTTCACCCCCACTGTCCCAGCCCCACCCCGGGGCCCCGAAGACTAGCCCTGCTCTCCTGCCTGGACCTCGCTCCCACCTGAGTTTCTTCTGCAGCCAACATCCCAGCCCCCTCCCTCCTCCAAGGCAGGGCTGCTCCTCGGCGCTCTGGCTCACATCTCGCTTCTGCCTCCTCTTAGTGGTGTGGCCTTGGCCAAGCAACTGTGCCTCCCGAGCCCCAGTTTCCTCACCTCTAAAACGGGGATAATAATAAGGACTGTAAGGACTGTAACTTACTGAAAGGGCGTTCCTAAGACAGTTTCACAGTGTTAGTTTTGTTTTGTTTTGGTTTTTTTTGGCCACAACGCACGGCTCGCGGGATCTTAATTTCCCGACCAGAGATCGAACCCGCACCCTCAGTAGTGAAAGCGCGGAGTCCTAACCACTGGACCGCCAGAGAAGTCCCCCCAGTGTTAGTTTTTAATACACTCATGTCTCTTTAAGACAAACAATTTATGAAAAACACGAAGGGGAAATTTATTCAATGTTTAAATAAAATTATCGAGGATTCATTAGTTATCATTTATCCTTTATTTTCCAGGTAATAAGCGGCACGTTATATTGAATGGCTTCAGTCCCACTGTGCTTTGTAACTAAAACGATACAGTGACAGTGGACCTTCCTCAAGGTGGCTGTCTCTCCGTGGCACTTTTCAGATTTGTAAGGACTTTATGGACACCTCACATGTAAATATCTTATGCAGGGCTGGGCACTTAGGAGCTCTCTGACAAGGAACAGTTGTTGCTAGGATGTTATCACCATCACTATCATCACACTTGAGAAAACCTACCCCTGTCACAATTATCACCACACATGTACACAACATCGCACAGCCAGAAGAAGGAAAACACAGGCAAAAACCACTGAATAAACAAACAAATCCAGGGTCACTTTGTCTAACATACGTTCCCCAAACAGGTAAAACGTTGAGCCCTTTCTTATACCTTACTAACTCCTTCATAAAACAGGGTTATCCCCTGACTTCGGCCTCGTGATATCTACAGATGTGTGATCTTATCCAGATGCTAACTGCACGAGACTACTGCTGTATCTCTACCGTGAACAGACTCACTACAAATTCCTGTTACTTTTCCCCTTAAATACATGTATTTATAATTTACAGGGCCGATCCTTCTGAAGTCTGGATTTCTGCAAGCACTTTGCAAGTCACCTGCTTTTCTTGTCTTGTTGCCTTCCGTTCACAGACAGAGGTCCCACCAAGATGCTCCAGAACTGCCAGCGCCGTTCAACTACATGAACCGTCACGTGCTCCCAGGCACATCTGTCTCAACTCCCAGGCGGGATCCTGCTCAACCTGCTTCTAGCTCTATTTTTATTACTTGACCGGGGCTAGTTCTGTTTTGACATGACCTTCTTTTACCCCCTTTATTATTGGCAGAACGTTGAGAAGATGGATTTGATTATATGCCCTGTCTGGTTCTCCATCAAGGGGCAAAGAACAGGAGTCTCTGTGGAATGGGAGAAAAGCAACCTGGAATCTGGTTGCTTCTTTATGTTTGGCTTCTTTTGGTTTGTTTGTCTTAAGGATTCTGGGACTGGCGGGCACTAGGGACACCAGCTTCTTTGTCACTGGGTTAGGACACGCTGGTTTAATTATATACGCCACTGCATAATGACTAATAATTTGTCTCTAAATGTTGATAGGACCCTCTTATGTTGCTTGTTTGGTTTCCAACCGCTATGAACTCAAATCACTCAAAAGAAAAAAATAGAGGGAGAAAAAAATGGTGCCCTCAGGAACAGAGAGCAACCCCTGAACAAGGAACATTCTGACAAAACACTCTCCCCTTGGGCTTCCCTGGTGGCGCAGTGATTAGGAATCCGCCTGCCAATGCAGGGGACACGGGTTTACGCCCTAGCCCGGAAAGATCCCACGTGCCTCGCAGCAACTAAGCCTGTGCGCCACAACTACTGAGCACGCGTGCCACAACTACTGAAGCCTGCGTGCCTAGACCCCGTGCTCCGCAACAAGAGAAGCCCCACTTGCTGCAACTAGAAAAAGCCCGCGCACAGCAACGAAGATCCAACACAGCCAAAAATAATACATAAATTAAATAAATAAATTTAAAAACACTCTCCCCTCAAGGGCCTGTTAATTTTTTCTTGCTTCTTTGGTCATGGTCTTAAATAATATTTTCAAACAAATGTCTACTTCTGAAAACGCTGGGCTTCTTACTAATTACTACTTGCTACTGTGTTTATTACCTACCAGACTGACGCTCCTGTTCTGCCTACTCTACCAACTTTGTGCTATAGCCTTTCTCAAACCCAGGCCCCACCTTCAGAATAATAAAATATCAAGGTAACTTTTACACCGAGATGTGCTTGGAGTTTCCAGCTGGCCACTGGGCAACACCAAAGATTTGCTCCCCCGCTTTATAAAAGCTCCCAGTGAGGGCATGTTTTGTATTCTCCACATTTGAATTAGCCAAACACTAGAATGAGAGCCGGCCTTTGAAGTGTCTACCATAAGAAAGTTGGCAGATCAAGAGAAAAGAAGCTCAATCTCCCTGAGTTAATTTTATGTGTGTGTATATATGTAATTACATATAATTCACATATATATAATATAGAGTAATATCATATATAATATATAATTGCATATAATATATATATGTGTACTTTTTAAGATGGATGGAAAAAACCTAACAACTTGTTTTCATGTACAGAGACTAGTACCATTAATATCCACAGAGAAATGTCTTTAAAAAGATTTTTTTTTCTAGATTTAACTATGCTTTTTAGTGCCAATCATAACACAAGCTTTATGAGATCAATTAAAAGACCGTGACAATGTGTCAACACCCCTGCTGCCTATAATATGCTCTGAATCTGAACAACTGATCATACATTATACCTTAATAGAGGCCTCTATTCTCCATTCTGATACTGTTGGTTATATAATAAATGGCCCAGAGTCATTTAGTCTTCTCAACAGGTCTGGTTCCCTCCCTCACACTTGCCTCAAGGCCTGTGCTTCAGGTCAGAGATTGAGTCTTCTGAAAGAAACATCAAGAGCTGACGGCCTCAGTAGAGGACTGTACCAGTGCACCTGGCTCTTTACACTTTGGGAAGAGACATGGGGCACAAGCTTCCAAGATGACCCATCACCATGACCAGACACTGTGCAAGGCCAAAGCAGGAACCAAGTCTTTAGTCCAGAAGCAGACAACTTTGCAGAGCGAACTAACTTCCCCAAGACTGGGGAACAGGAATTATGACCTAGGACTGCATGAAAGTGATTTAATTGTGGTTAATGTTCTATTTTCTAACGGGCATGTGAGAAACCCCCCTTTTTTTTTTTCTTTGATCTATCCCTAATCTTCAATTTAGGAGGCTATATTTGAACAAACTGGAATAGGATATTCCTTAAATGGTGTCTTGCTCCAGCTAACCCTTTAGAATTTGGGGGGGGGGGGGGGCGGGCACGGCAGGAGGACTATACAGATTTAACATAGATATAAACTAATGAATTATCAAGGAAATTTTAAAATAACGGTCCTATTGAAAAAACACTATTGGTCTTGTCTACAAAACTACTCAGAACAGTTGCTAAAAAATATTCAAAGTGCCTTTACTGAGACCTTTTCCTTTTTATGACCATTAGTTTCTGTAAATAGGTTCACTAAGAATCTGTCCTCCTTCCTAACAGGATATAATTGGGTAAATCAAATTTGTAACCATGACCATGCCAGAAATGTCACATTTAATGACAAATTTGATTTAATTAGGCATGACAAGCCTGATAGTAAGAAACAAGGCCTGTACTTTGTAAGTGGGAATGTAGCCTCCCCAGGCTTCCAGGAAACTGAACTGAATCTACTCCATGGCTTGTGGAATCCTTACCTTTAAGGTTATGGGAAAAGTCATTCCTGCTAGCCCAGAAACGCTGACAAACTTGGGATTCTCCAAAAAGACGGTACCCTTCCCGTTACAGGTTGTACAGGCACAACCTGACAAGAGGTGAATTGGATGGATCTTAGATAGTAACTTAGATAGATCTTAGATTAGATAATATGATAAGAAAAATTTTTTTCACACATACACAGATTAAAATTATGACCTGGGGGCTTTACAAAATCTCCTGACAGGAGTTAACTCTCAAACCCTGGGGTGGCGTGCTCTGATTTTAGTAACCATACAACCAGGAGGACACTTTATTGAGCAACACCTCATTACACACACCTATGTCCATAAAACTAGCCAAACGTCAAAAAATACATTCATGACAAGATCAGAAAATTTCTGAAACAAATCTACGTGGTCAAATCCACGCCCCAGGAGGCACGGGGACGAGAAAAGCAGACTGATGCCACCCTGCCCGCTATCCTGTCATTTGTTCCTTACTATCAAACCTACTGATCATGCCCCAGAGTCAGAGAAACAGACAAAACATCTTGCCCCCTGGGATAAAGCAAACAAAGACAATGGAGAGAAATGAATAAATAACACCACCACAAAACAAAACCTAAGGTCCCTGTGTCTAGCCTTAGTGCCCAATATAAAGAAAACCTTGAGCGCTTTCTGTGAGTTACAGACTCCACAGCAAAAACAATTTTATCCCTGCCAGTGCTGATACTGGCAGACACACAGCCGTGCTTATAGATACGAGAACCATCATGTGAGAAAACTGCTGTGTTTCTTCCCCTCTGAAGAGATGAACTGTAATTTGATAACCTTTACTTTATTTAAATACCTATGGTATTTTTATTTGGCGAGCCAGTCTTTCTGATGTCTGTACTCCCCTGCAAAAACCTCTTTCCTTAAAGCATGTCTATCTCTGAATCCCCCGTTCATGCTTTCGACTAGACTGTACACCCTAAGAGGGCAGGAATCTGTGTCTGTTTTGTTCAGTGCTGTATCCCCGGCACCTAGGGGCGCGTCTGGCATTCATATTTACAATTCACCTCTTGTACATACTTGTTAAATGGATGAATCATATGCCCTGTAAAAGCCAGTTCTATTTATTCCACAAATATTAAACATATGCCTCAATGTTTATTATGTGCCACACACTAGGGATGTGGAAACGGAGGAGACCAAGCCCTCGCCTTCAAGAACCCTCAATATATTGGGGGTGGTGGGCAAATAACCAGGCAAGAAGAAGACACTCTATCCCTGCTGGGATGGGGAAGCCCAGGGCCTGTGGAACCAGCTCAGGGGGGCCAGGAAGGACTTCCTGGAGGAAGCTTTACTGAGACATAGATAGGAGAGGGCCAGAAAAACAGGATAAAGGAGGGGGAGGGTGTTTCAGGTAAAGGACACAGCACGTGCAAAGACCTTACAGGTGAGCAACAGTGGGAAGTGATGTCCACAAAGGCCATATCATAAAAGGCCTCGAATGACAAGCAAAACAGTTTGGTCTTGACCCTGAGGGCAACGGACACCTAGAGAAGGTCCTTGTCCCTCCTTGCACCAGGTCCATGCACCAGGTGCAGGTGCTGAGCTAAAACTGGCTGCATCGGGGCAGCACGAGGCTGGCCACTCACCTGGTATGCTGTTGGAGGTGGGAGAGCTGTCGGAAGGACTTATCACAGTAGGAGCAGTGGTAGGGCTTGACGCCCAGGTGGATGCGCAGGTGCTGGGCCAGGTAGGAGGCGTTGGCAAAGGATTTGGAGCAGTGCGGGCACTTGTGGGGCTTGGCCTCTGTGTGCGACTTGGAGTGGATCTGCATCTCAGACTTGGTGAAAAAGGTCAGCGGGCATACCTTACACCTGTGGGCAAGAGGCAGGTTCATACCAGGAAGATTCCCGCCCCCACCCCCAGCCCCGTGCCTGGAGATCTCAGGGGAGACCTTCTACATCAGAGAGACCTTGCACCAGGGACAGAGCTCTCCTGGGAGGGTCCAGGAGGCACGGGCAGGCCCCCAGCCTGGGCACCCTCCAATCTGGAGGCCAAAGGTCCTCCCCCTGGAGACAGATTTACAGCAGGCTGGGGAGCAGGCTTACACCTCACAGGGAAGAGAGGCTAGTGACTCATGGTTCTGGGGGAGGGGCTCCAGCACTCCTGGTGAGAGGTTCTCCACCCTGGCTGTACTTTAGAATCTTCTGGGGAGCTTTCAAGAAAGCCTGACCTGGGGGCCTCCGCATGTCTCCCCCCAGCAAGTTAAATCGGAACTTCTGGGGGTGCGCCCCAGCACTGGCATTTTTGGAAAGCTCTCCAGAAGATTCTAACGTTGAGCGTTCAGAACACTACTTGAAGAGTGTAGGAAACAGACTCTCTCGACATCCCAGGCTGTGGTGAGGGCGGCCCCAGACAGAGACCACCTCTGAAGGGTTGTGGGCGGGGTGAGCCAGGAGACCCCGCCCCTCTGGACCGTAGCCCTCACCCTCCGCCTCTGGGGCCCCTCTTTGCAGTGCCCCACTGATGGGCCCCTGCTGCAGCCTGAGGCACTGGCCTCTAACCCAAGCGCACCTGGATGCCCTCCCACCGAGACCCCCACCTGTACGTCTTGCCCTCCTTGGCAGTCTCGCCCGAGGCCAGGATGGGGTAGGGGACTACGAGGACAGGCGGCCCCCCTGGATTCTCCGCTTTGATCTTTTTTCGGCCGCGCTCGGACTTGGGGGGGCCAAGCAGGCCGTGGCCCTGGATTGTCTTGATGGAGTCCAGGAGGGGGGGGCTGGTGATCCCTGAGATGAGGGTGGGGGACGAGGCGATGAGGCGGCTCTGGCTGGTGGTGGTGGGTGTGGATGGGGTGCTGGTACCCGTGCCCGCACTCGACTCAGATGTGCTCACAGCCGGGGTCCGGGAGGAGAGCCCCAGACCTGCGAAGACACGGGGGTGGGGGCAGCTGCAGAGGCCGGCTCAGTCCCCACCACCCAGCTGTGTGACTCTGGCAGGTCACCAGCCTTTCTGAGTCTCCCCTTCCCTTTGTAAATTATTACTCGGGGGTACAAATGAGAACTGTGTATGTGTAAGATTCCTTAGATACCTAAGAACTAAACTGAGTCCTATTATCTGTAACGGGGGCACTTTGGAAATCATCCCCCCCCCCCCAAAAAAAAACAAAAACAAAACTGAGGCACAAAGATGTCCACTACTGTGTTATTTATAATAGCGAAAATTAGAGACAACTGAAGTATGCAATATTAGGGAAGGGCTTAATAAATTGTGATCAATCTCCTCTACTGAACATTAACTGCCCATTAAAAAGGAGATTATGTTTGTAAAAAAAGGAAAATTTTAAGCCACAGAAAAAGTTAAGTAGGAGATGGAGATGCACCAACATGTGATATGGATGGTAGAATTAGGAGTAATTTTAAAACAGTTTTTTTGGCTTAACTGTACTTTCTAATTCTTTGACAATGAACTTTTTCTTTTTCCTTTTTTAAAAATTTCTGTAATAAAAGTTATTCTTTTAAAAACGAGGGGACTAGAAACATTTACAACATCAGGTAAAGTACACAAAAAGATGAAAATGATATCTATCACATGATTAAGACTATGCTTTTTTAAAAAAAGAAACCCAAAATTTGTACATTGAAAAAGATAATATCCAGAGTTGGCAACAGTGTGTGTGTCATACATGCTGGGAGTGTACGCTTATCCACCTTAATGGAGGGTGGTTTGGCAAGAGTTTATTAAAATTTCAAAGGTACAAAACTTTTGACGAAGCAATTCTAATTCTAGAAATCACCCATAGATATTTATTTGCACATGAGCACACAGATCTGCGTACTTGGACCTTCCATACAAAACTGTGATCAGACAAAACTGGACACAACCTGCTATTCTCAGCAGGGACTATGTAAAGAGATGTGGTCCATCCTCAATACGGAGAACAGGGAAGCCATGAAAACAAGATAGATGTGCAGTGACGTAGAGAGAATGCCAAAACATGCTGCCAGGTGAAAGAGTAATCAACCACACACACAGTATGAACCCACCTATTTTAAAAAGCACGCATCCAAACTACACATGTATATACAGGTAATGTAGCTGTGTGTGAAAGCACAGGAATAGATCAGAGAAGAGACACACCAAAGTAAACTGTGTATAAATTGTGGTTCCCTGTGGGGAGGGAGAAGAATTTGTTGATAAAAGGAGATATTCATACTTTATCTGCTTCCATATTATTTGAATTTTTTACCTGGTGAATTCATCCATTTTTTACATCTGTGATTAAAGGATAAAATAAAATAAATTATAGAGAAAACATATGAAAATGCTAACAACAGTAGGACGAGGGTTAATTTTTTTTTCTCCTTTTAGCTTGTCTGCAATTTCTAAATTTTCTATGATGACTACGAGTTACCTTTATAATAAAAAATGCACTAAATATGTTTACGATAGAATGGTGAGTAGGAAAAGAGAGTTCAAGTCATGGGTACAGCCCTACCACAAGCTCATCAGAACACGCCCAAATATTAAAAAACAAAACAAAAAAGATGGAAAAGGAAGGAAATGGACTAAAAGGCTCTCTAAGCTGCTGGGTTATGAGCTGGGGATTATGAGTGATTTTCTTTTTTCTTAGTTTCTCTTTTTTCCAAATTTCCCTTAATATGCTTAATATGCTTAAAAAAGTAATATATTACTTTTTTAATATTACTTTTATAATGAAAAAATAAATTTAATAACGTCATAATAAGGAGGGAATGTGCAGAGGGTGGCTGCGGCCTGGGGGGAGGCTCACGGGGCCCCATGGCTCTTGGGCATCTCCGAGAGGCAGGAGGGAGAGGGGGAGAGAGGCACAGGCATCTGGCTGGCGGTGGGGCCAGCCAGAGGAGGAACAACAGCCCAGATACAGTTGCCACTGGAGAAAGCCTGTCCACCAGGCTCTGAGGTGGGCACCAGGCAGCCCAGCCTCGTGACACATGTCCCCCCAGCCCCCAGCCTCAATCTATCCAAGACTGGGCTCACATCTTTCCCCCACCCCGCTCCCCCTCCTATGACTCCATCTCACTGGCAGTGACTGGGAGTCTCCCTTGCCCCCTCCCACTCTTCACCCCTACACCCAGCCCAGCACCAAGCCCTGTCCACTCTCCCTCCTCAACATACCTCACATCTGTCCCCTTCTCTCCATCCCTCTGCGGCTGCCTTGTCCAGGCCACCACCCTCTCCTGCAGCTCTCCCTGCCACCGAGCCAGTCTCCACCTTATAGCCAGCCCCAGCTTTCTCACCCAAATCTGAGCATTTCCCTTGCCTACTTAAAAACCTTCCACGCTCCCACTGCCCGAGGGTGAAATCCAAGCTGCACAAGTGGCCCCCAGGGCCCTTCCCAGTCTGGTGCCTGCTTCTTTTCCAGCCTCAGCAGAACCAGTAGAGCAAAAGGGTTCACACATGGGCTCTGGAACCACACTGCCTGCCTCTGCCTCTTACTGGCTGTGAAACTGGGCCTCAGTTTGCTCATCTGTTCAATGGAAACGTTAGGGTGAACCACATGCAACTGTTTCTTTAAGTCAACCTAACAGTAGCCACCTCACAGAACGGCTGGGAGTAATAACATGAATACTGGTGAACATATACAGGTGCTCACCTGGAGTTAACTGCCGTATTATGACTGTTATCATCATCTTTTGATCTTCCCTACCCCGACACTGTCCTACTCTTGCTTTCTACTCGCTCTGCACATGTTATTTCCTCCTCCTGCTCCATGTCCCTAGTCAACCACCAACCCTTCCTTGCATAGGGACTCCTCCAAGGAAGTCTTCCCTCACCCCTCACCCCCCAAGTCTGGTTAGGGCTCTCCTGGATTCCTGAAGTAGCTACGTGGATTTGGCTTCCTTGGTGATCCCCCGACGGGCAGTGACCCAACCTCGTCCCATCCAGGTGGCTTAGCTGGGCGCTACGTCAGGGTACAGGACGGAAGGAAGTCTGGAAGCTCCACCCCCGCCCCAGGCCCTGCCGGCCCGCCCCGCCCCGCCCAGCCGCAGGGTATCCTGGCCACGCCCCTCCCAGGTAGTCTCCGCCCAGCCCTCAGCAGTACCCGCGACCCGGCCCCGCGGTACCTGTGACCGTGCTGGTGGCCGGCCGCGCGTGCAGCGCCACGTCAGGCTGCGGCACGGCCTGCGGGTGCAGCCCCGGCACCTGCTGCAGCTTGGGCAGCGACATGACGGCCTGGCTGCTGTCGGCCGGCGCCGGCGGCACGAGGAGCGGCTGCTGCGACGAGGCCGACGTGGGCGGCAGGTGAGGCGGCCGGATCTTCTCCGCCATCAGCTGCTCCTTGATCTTGTTAATCAGGACCAGGTTGTCCAGCTGCGGGCGGGAGAGGAGAGGTACTGAAGGGGCTTGGGCCGCCGGGCCACCCGCGAACCCCTCACCCCGCAGCCAAAGCCCGGGGCAAATCAAAGCAGCTCCGAGACGGGGAGGGTGGCGGGAGGGGCGACGCTCCGTCTTACCTGGCTGGGCATGGTTGGAGGAGGGGGCCAGAAGTAGGGGTTGTTAAATCGAGGCTCGGCCATCCTGCGGGGAGAGAGCGACTGTCACAGGGAAGAGGGCCCTCCCCACCGGCCAGGGGCGAGCCCCCATCAGCTACACCCACTCAATCTGGGCCAGTGTCTGGGATCCCTGCCCCCGTGGGACCCTCACCTCGCAGCGGAGCAGGCCTCCTACCAGGCCCAGAGAACCACATCTCCAGGCTGAAAAGTCTGGAATTCAGGTGTCCCACGGTGGGCCCCAGAGAGCAAAGGTCATATCCAAAACAGAGTACTCCCAGCTCCTCCCCCCCGCCCCCCCCATCCCACCCAGCTCCCATCACCGTGATGCCCGCAAACCAATCCCTATTCCCCCGCCCGAGGGCCCTGGGCTGCAGAGCCAACCCTATGGATTCCACACAGAAACCTGCTGTCCAGAGACAAACTGAGAGGTCCTAGGGCAACTTTGTAAATCGCCACAGAGCAGAGGCAACTGCCCCTCCCTGATCCCTGCCCTCTGACCCCTGGCCCCATTAAAACACAGGGGGCAACTTGGGTCATCAGATACAGCCTTTCTGGAGGGCAATTTGGCAGGATGATTTACGGGAACCCAGATGATTACAGTATTGCCTTTTGACCAAAGAAACCGTACCTCTGGAAAGTTATCCTCAAGAAACAAGCATGGCCAGAAACAAACATTTTCCCTACAAGGATGTGTCGGAACACTGTGCTTAAGGAGGGCGTTGAGGAGGCCTGAGGCTAGGGCAGTTTGGGGCTCTTCAGTAGAAGTATGTGAAAATCCATCTGGTGGCCCTCACCTCTGGCAAGTTCCTGTGCAGTTAAAAGGGCTTTTCAACCAGGGCAGTATGAAGGGTGGGCCTTCAAAGCTATCTTTGTCTTCCATAGGGTTCAAGTCTTCCTGTGACCCTAGAGTAAGTCAAGAAGTGACTTATAGGGACCATGCTGGACAGAGGCATTCCATTAAGTCTTGCTCCCTATCAGATTTCTCTTATTTATCTCTCTCTTACAGAAATTACTATAACTAAATACCTACTGGTATTGGTTGCTTAAATGCAACTGTTTCTTATGATAGGCAAGGCTGAAATGAAGTGCCTTTAACCTTTTTTCCTGGCCCTACAAGTGGGAGAAGCCCCTACTGGAATCGCAGGCAGAGGGTTTCAGGAAAAAGCCCTCAATAAGGATACAACCTAATCAGAACACTCAAGAGTATCCTCCTCTGGGTGGCTGGGGCAGCTCTAAAAGCCCTCCTTCTCCCGCCACCCACAGAGACCAAGCTGCCCTTCTCTCCACCCGTCCAACCCTGCCCATCCTTCACAACCCAATACCAGAAGCACTTCCTGCCTGGAGTTCTCCCTGACTGCTCCAGATCCCTGGAACTTCTCCTTTCAAAGAAGGACCTCAACACAATAAAAATAGTGAGAAGGCTGCCATTTACTAAGTACCCACCTTGTGCCAGGCATACTGACACCAAGAGGCAGGTACTCTTATCATCCCCTTTTTACTACTAAGGAAACTGCAGTTCAGAGAGGTGGAGTGACTTGGTCAAGGTCACACAGCAAGTAAGCAGAGAGCTGAGATTCCCATTCTCATCTGCCTGACTCCAAAGTCCAGCTCACCAGTCCCTTAGCTGTTCAGGGGGAACGACAAAGCATGCTGACTGTAGGATTGTGAATATGTCCTGTCTTAGGATGGCACAGCACCCACTGCCCATCCACCCAGCAGCCTCAGACCTGTCCCTCCCTTGCTGTTGTCCACTGGGGAAAACGTGAAGGGGTCTGAGCTCTAATGCCAGGGTGAGGAGGCTCCAGGGCTGAGGGGAAGACGAGCTGGGGAGCTGCCTCAGAGAGGCCTGGGAATTGGATACATCTGTCTCGTCCAGCTTGGCATCCCCGGCACCCAGGCCCAGAAGTTGATCAACAACATGAGTTGTGTGACAGAATGAATAAATGAAGAAATAAATAATCAGAATTATTTTAAAGACAGTCCCACACAGTTATCTAGCACTGCTGACAGTGTACAAAGCCCTCAGTATCCAGCAGCATTCTCACCAGGGCCCCAGGAAGCAGGGAAAATCTTCACCCCCATTTCACAGAGGAAGAAGGTAGGGCACCAGGAGGGAAGCACTTGCTCCTGGCCACATGGATGGGGAAACAGGAGGGAGCGCTGTGCTGCAGTGTTGGGCATCGGCTCTCTGAGCCTCCGTTTTCCTCATCTGTAAAATGGGATTGAAACAGGCCACTCTGCTTCATTCCTGCCCTGGCCCAGGATTCTGCCCACTGTACCCGACTGTTCCTCAGACAGTTCTGGGGGAGCTGTCCTCTCCTCCCCTTCAGTTCAATGCCAAGTCAAGGCTTCCCCAAACTCCACCCTGGTCAGGGAGGTATGGGGTCCCATAGCCGGGATAGAGCATCCTCTCTGCCACTTATCAGGCCCCTGGTCAGCCAGGGACCACCCCTAACCCTGGTTGGGGAAGCAGGCACACAGAGGGGAAGGGTCTGCCCTGGGTCACGTAATCTAATCCACACAGCCTCTGCTTCATCTCTCTGTGTCCTTCTCTGGCTGGGCTTAAGTTACTTAATGATTTGCTCAGTGACCCAGGTACTGGTGTACATCTACCCTGTGTCAGCGCAGGGAAGGCGGGGGGGGGCAGGGGGGAGCGTCTGCTGAGCCCTTACTGAGTGTCAGGCACATTGCCAGGTGTGCATCAAGAGCATCTCACGTGAGCCCCCCAACAAGCCTTCTAGGTAGGTGTGCACCTGTGCAGCCCTGGGACTCGCGTGACAGGGTGGCCGGGGCCGGGCTAAGCCACGCAGACCTTGTGTTGAGGGAGAGATTTTAAGCAGGAGAGAGACTGGTCAGTGTCTGTTTAGGACAGATGGACAAGGCAGAAGGGCATCCAGGCAGAGGCAACAGTTTGAGCAGACATGGAGGTATGAAAGTACAAGGTAGGTTTGGGACAGTGGGCAGCCACCCACTGACACCAAAGAGAGCTGGAGAGTGGTGAGGGACAGGCCAGCCAGCAGGGCCTTGAATGCTGCTGGTGAGGAGGCCTCAGGCAGTGTGCAAGCCAGGGGGCCTGAAGCTTGGAGGACCGCGGTTGGAGGGAGGAGCCTGAGGACAGCGCCTGGGGCAGAGGAGCCAGGCTGGCTGGGCTGAGTGTCCCACCTACCCCATCCCCTGGAGGCTGGGGAGGCCATGCAGACTGGGCTTCATGCCCCAGACAGAAGCCAAGACTGTGCTTTGAGCCTCGAGACTCACAGCCCTGATCCTTGCAGTAGGGCGAGCAAGGTGTCATTTTGTTTTTCTTGCTCTAAAAGGTGAAAAAGGTTGGATGGGTCAATGAATGAAACACCTCCTAGAGCCGCCCACCCACCCATCTGCCCATCCATTCGTTCTGGATACATCCTCTGGGCCAAACGGGGGACCGGTGCTGGGGAACCGAAGGCAAAAAGAAGAGCCCTGCCCTCTGGGAGCCCTGAGCTAAGGAAGGAAGCAGACACGTGACCCGCAAGCTTCTGCAAAAAAAGAACTTTTGCCTGTGAGGCCTGCCACATGCCACCAGGGACCTCCATGCAGTCAAAGCCGAAGGGCTACCTTCCAGTCCCGTCCTTCAGGGCCTCCCGGCCACCTGGGCCCTTTGAGAAGACCTGGGTGCCGTGAGCCCTGGGTTCCTCATCTTCTCAGTCTCTTTCCCAGCTCCCACCCCACACAGCCTGGGCTCCTCAGGGTGGGCGGGAGCTCCTCTCTTCCACTAGCCTCAGTCCTTGGGTGGCCCATCCACTCTAGGACTTTAAATACCAGCCAACCCCCCGGTCTCCACCCCCAGACCAGGCTGCCCCCTGGAGCTCCAGGCCCACCTTCCAGTTACCTCCCTGACCACTCACGGGCTGCTCAGACTCAGCAGGTCTGAGCTGGACTTGGTCTTCCCCTAGGATATGTACTTCTCTAGCGATCCCCTCTGAGCGGGGCATCGCCATCTGCCCAGACGCTCCTGCCACGGACACTCATCCACAGAACGTCCCCTCCCTCCCCTCCCAGCTCAGATACACCAGCAGCCACGTCTTCGGGATTCCATTTCCAAACTCTCTCCCTAATCCACTCCATCATCTTCACAAGTCCTAGCTACTATCCGCTCACCTGGACCACGGAACAACCTGCTTTATTTGGAGCCCAGTGCACCCAGGTTCAAATCTTGGCTCCAAAACACCAGCTGTGTGATCTTGGGCAAGTCACTTGCTCTTGCCCCCCAAGTCAGGGATGAGCAGCCCAGAGCACAGGATGGAAAGAAAGGATCAGGGAGGACTTCCCAGCGGAGGTGATACGTGCTTTAGGTCTTAAAGGATGAGTGGGAGTTAGCCGGGCAAAGAAGGAGTGGGGAGCATTCCTGGCAAAAGCAGCAGCCTGCGTAAAGGCCCAGGGGTGAGAAGCAACACAGTGCGTGAGGCGAGCTAAAGCGATCAGTGTAGACCGGGAGACAGGACATGAGGCTCGAGCCAACGGCCAGGGTCAGACCTAGAAAGGCGGTTCCAGAATCTGAGGCCTGGAGTCTGGACTTGAAGCAGTAGGTGACGGGACAGAATCTGTGGTTTAGAAAGGCCCCTCTGACTGCTGAGTGTAGGCGGGCCTGAAGAAGCCAGGAGAGGAGGCAGTGAGAGGGAACTGGTCGAAGGCCCCCAGGGAATGGAACAGAGGTGAGAGGCGGGGGCTACTCTGGGCCAGGGAAAAGGGTGACCAAGGAGGTCTGGCTATTTGGTTAGAGCTGGAGGCCAAGGAAGCATGCAGGTTGCCCTCCAAGGTGTGGCCCAGGAGGTCCTCTGGACACCGACGCAGACAGACAGAGTCACAGGAACATGCAGACAGACAGCACCAAACTCCGACAGGCCAGATCTGTGGTCCCAAACATGGACAGATGGGGACATGGCAACTCCCATGGGCAGGACCCCACAGCCACCAGGACAGAGTCACAGGTGGATGCTATTACAGGAGGGTGAGCGCACACAGCCCCCAGGCAGACCCGGAAGGAGGCAGTGAGGGGCACTCGGGGAAGTTGGGATGAACACAATTGCCTTATTCCCCCAAAGAACAAACCCCTCATTGACAGATTTCAACCTGGAATCACAGGCTCCTTACCTAGAGTGTCCTTTCCCACTTGGTGAACTTCTACTCATCCTTCAAGACCCAGCTCAAGTGTTCCCTCTTCTACGGAGCTTTCCCTGAACCCCCAGTCAGTCACTTCCTCTGTGTTCCCAACAGCACCTTGTATATGGGAATAACAATAACAATAACAATAATAAATGGCAGCTACCACTGGTTTCAGCACCTACTACTTGCCAGGCACTATGCTGAGTATGTTACACGCATCATGTCACTGAATTTTCCCAATGGCCCTGTGAGACGTACATTTAACAGAAGAGGAAACTGCAGCTCAGAGAGGTTGACCAACTTGCCCAAAGTCACACAGCTAGCAAGTGATGGAGTTAGGATGCCACCCAGATCTGGTGAAGCACTACAGGGCTGATCACACCCTGGTGCGGTCATGTTTCCCTGGGTGACTTGCCCACCAGACTGTGAGGTCTTCACAGGTAGAAGTGGTGCTCATTCACCTCTGCCATTCCAGCATCTAGTCCGAGGGGGTTTCAGAAACTCTTTGTAGAATGAAAAAGCACAATAATACCGACTACCTTTTCCCGAACACCTAAAATAGGCCAGGAATGGTGGTAGCAGGGCATTTTACAGCCGTTATTTTATTGTTGCAATAGACCCATTATACATATGAGGAAACTGAGGTCCAGAGAGGTTAAGTAACTTGCCTGAGGTCACAGAACTGAGTCTGGATTGGAAACCAGGTCTATCCATCACCCTTTCCCAGGACGGTGGCCTCTGAGGCCAAGCTAGCAAGCTCCACCAAGGGGCAGAAGGGGCAGGGGCACTGAGGAAGGGGCACACCAGGTGCCAGGCCCTGCCACCTGGGGAGGTTCAGGCCTAGACAAACAGACACAGAAGAAAATGGACAGCCCAAGGGGGAATGTGATTAACCTCGCCCGCTGCAGGACAGCAACTTCTGTCCCACCTACCCCATCCCCAGGCCAGCCCAGAGACATTAAAAAATGAGATCTGCCCAGACCCCATGGCCACAGGAGAACTAGCTCCCAACAAAGCAAATGGGAGAGAGCAGGACCCAAAACTGTCCGGATACTATGATTACAAGGAGGCAAAAATAAAAACCTGCGTCAGAAAAAGCTGCAGGGAACCACGCCCAGAGGGAGGCTGGGAGCGCTAGGGGAGGTGGCTGGGGCTGATCTGGTTTTTTGTCTTCGTTTCTTTAATTTCCAGCTACTCTGCAATGTTGTTGTTGCTTTTATAATGAAAACAATAAATTTATTCTTAAAAAAAGAGAAAGTCGTTGGTAGCCAAGGGGGCGGGGGTAACAGATGGAGGGTCTGGAGGCAGGGAGGAGCAGGGGGGATCAGGGTCAGGGATGGTGGGCACTCAACTGACTGTCGCATGCCACCCATCCTCCAGGCACACATGACCTGGTGGGTCATGGCAGATGTCCGCAAGGGCTGTCTGGCTGAGGTGAAATTCCATTGGCACTTTGAAGCCGGTCAGGGTTCCACAGGGATTATCTCCACACCTTCCCTGCCCTGGTCCGGGCCCCTTTCTGCTCTGGCCTCAGCTATTCCAAGAGCCTCCTCCCAGGGTCCCTCACCTCTACCCACACGACCCATTCCATTCTCCTACTGCAGTCACTGTGATATTTCTAAAATACAAATCAGATCACAACATTCCCCTACTGAAAACCTTTGATGGCTCCCTCCTTCCCTCCAGACAAGGTCTGGATTCCTTAGGCCTTCCATGCCTGGCCCTTGCCGACCTCTTTGGCCTCAGTGTTTATTTCTGCCTTCCACTCTGCCCAGCCAGACCGAGCACTCCCCCACTGCTCCACTTCCCTTCTCACTTCCTCACCTCTCCCTGGAACCCTCTGCCTCCCCATTTCACTGGTTAACTACAACTTATTCCTCAGGCCCCAGTTTACAGGCCACTTCCTCCTGGAAGCCTTCCAGGACTGCTATGCTATGTTGGGTGCCTCTCCTCTCTGCTCCCTTTGTGCCCTGCATGTTCATCATCAGACCCTTGGCAGTCCATTTTCTGCCTGTTTTCTCGTCCATGCTGTCTGTCAGGGCACAATCAAGGCTGAGTCATTTACCTTTAAGCCAAAAAGTACCTGATAAATGTTTGAATGAATGAATAGTCTAGGTAGAAGGAACTGAAAGTGTCATGGCCTAGTTAGAGGAAAGTCCCCTCCCCCTCCTCTGAGTCCCCTCCCGCCACTCTGGCACTAACTATGTTGTCCCCTGTGTTATATTCTTCCCTATTTTCTGTATCTAAGCCCTATCTTCTTAATTGATCTGAGAAGAGGCTGTGTGCTGTAGAGACTAGCAGACCAAAAAAGTTGTTAACAGCTAATAAACACAGAAAATGGTTCTGCTTCCCATTTTCTTCCCAATAAGAAAATGATAATACTCAATGCTGGTGAGGGTATGGTGAAATGGCACTCCCATGCATTATTTCTGGGAGTGTAAACTGGAACAAACATTTCCGAAAACAATCTGGCAATAACGTTGCATGAGCTCTGTAAAAATTTTCAGACTTCCTGGCCTAGCGATCCTATTCTTGGTCATCTGTCCCTAGGAAATACCCCAAATATAGACAAAGTTTTATGCACAAAGCTGTTTGCTTCAGTGGTTTTTTTACAGTAGCAAAAACCTGGAACAGCCAAAATTTTAAACAACAGGGGGATGGCTCTGTAAATCATGTTACACAGTGATAGTCTACAGTCATTGATAATAGCCAGTGTTTACTGGCATTGCAATGACTCATTTAACATTCATATCAACCTTACACGGAACTGAGGCACAGAGAAATTAGGTAACTTGCCCAAAGTCAAGCAGTGTGTATACGATTTGAACTCAGAAAGTCGGGCTCCGGAGCCCATGTTTTCCACCCTGACACCACATCCATTAAAACGAGGGATTAAAACCACCCTGCAGTCATTTAGGAAACACTCATGATACAACATTAGTTGGGGGGGGGGGGAAGGGAAGAGTTTTAAATTATTTGTATAGATAGAGCAATGACATCTATCTAAAAACTGGGTGCTGAGGGAAAAGACAGGAAGGAAACACCAAAATGCTAGCAGTGGTGTGTTTCGGGCTCGGGGTGGGGACAGAAATGGGGGTGGGTTTTGGTTTATTTCATTTCCCTATTCTCCAACTTTTCTGAAGCGTGGCTACATGACTTTTTAAGGAATATTTTTAATAAAACTAAAGGTTCGGCCAGCTTTGGCCAAGAAAGACACCCCAGCCTCTGCCTATGGCCCCACTAGGATCCTGGCCTCAGGCCCTGCAGGTTTACCCAGGAGGAGACAGGGGCTCAGAGAGTCAGGGGCTTGCTCAAAGTCCCACAGCGAGCCTCGAGCCCTACCCCAGACCCCAGCCAGGAGTGCAGTCAGAGGGGGGACTCCCCTGCCTATCTGGGGACTTGGGGAGCCAAAGCCAAACAAAGGAAAGCCTGCCCACTCACTCACTCTCCTGCTTAAAATCCCTATTGGGTTGCCATAACTTTTGGGGTGTAGTTCAAACTCCCCAGGGTGGCCCAGGGCCTTTGCTAAGGAGGCCTTGCTGGCCACATGCATCTCTCCCTCCAGCCTCACTAAACGACCTGCAGGTTCCCAAAACAAGTTGCTCTCATGCCACCTTGCCTTTCTTTGCACAGGCTATGCCCTTCCACGTGGGGGACCATCATCAGTTGGAACCTTGTCAGATGCCCATCGGCCATCAGAAGTCAGCTGAGGTGTCATTGCCTAGAGGAAACCTTCCTGATCGCCAGCCCCATCCTTGGCTATATTTGCAGCCTCTCCCCTTAGCTCCCACAGCCTCCTGGGCTCCCCTTAACCTAAGCACGCATCCCCCTACCCTAGAATAGCCTGATAACTTATCTGTCCAATCCCCCAGGTGTCAGTGAGGTCAGGGCTTGGTTACAACCCTATATCCAGACTCAGTGGCACAGCTCACCCAGCTCTTCCTTCAGGTCTCAGCTCTGACCCTGTGGCCCCCTGCATTCCCCCTACCCCACCTCTGTATCACGCCTCTAAACACTGCCTCCAGCCATGACCCTCAAGGACAGGGCCGCTGCTGCAGCCCCAGAGCCTAGTACCCTAGCTGCTTGATAAAGTTCACTGAGGGAACCCATGGGAGGAGGGGGTCTGTCCATGCGGGTCTTGAAGATGGGGAAGTCTGCCAGGAGAGCAAGAGGGGAGAGAGAGAGCAGAGGGGCATGTGTGCAAAGACATGGAAAGCTGCTAGCTTCCTAGGACAGAAAAGCTTTCTCAAAAATGGCCCCTGCCCCAGGGAGGGGCAACAAGGTACTGCTGGGGCGTGGCTGAGCTAGAGGCGGGGGCGCTCCTGGGAAGACGAGCTCATCCAATTGAGGGATGAACACAGACTGCATGAAGCTGGGACTTACTGATGGCAGGAAGGGGAGATGTCAAGAGAGAGATGCCAGGGAAGGGCAGGCCGGGTGGGGAAAAAACGCACGTGCAAAGGCCCCGAGGCAGGAAAGCATGTGGACTCGTGTTTGGTCTGGTGTGGGCCCAGTGCAGGAATTCACAGGGGAAGGAGGGAAAAGTTGCCGGGGCAGTTCATAAGGGGCCAGAGTTCCAGGAGAAGGCACCTGGATGAAAGGCCACGTGGGGCCACGTTCAGGGGTCCCTGAACCAGGAAAGGCCATGGTCAAGGTTTTCAACAGACAGGTCATCAGGGGCCCAGAAGGATGGCCTGGAAGGGACAAGCAGGAGATGGTCTAGGAGAGGGAAGCTGAGGTTTCCCACCTTCCCAGCGCTTTGAGACCCCATGTGCTCAGTTTTCCTCCCATGACCCCTCTGCCCTCCATGTGGCCCCAACTCCACACAGCCAGAGCCCTGAGTCCCAGCTGCTGCCCCCCACCCCACCCCCAGGACCCAGGCCAGCCTCGGAAACTTGTTCCTGGGAACTTCCTGTGAGGAACTAGGCTCCTGAGGGTCCTGGATCCAATTAGGCTGGCTTGCCACAGCCCTGCAGGGCTGCGAAGGGCCATTTTCATTGTGATGACGGGGCTGATCAGAGCGGGAGGGGGCTCCTGTGTGCACCGTGGTCAGTGGGAGCTGGGATGCTGTCCCTTCCCCTCCTTGCCCCTCCCCTCTCCTACCACCAGCCACTCGGAGACACCCAGGGAGGTGACCCTCTCTGGGAGCCCCAGTGCCCTCACCAGGGAACGGGCCATGACCGCCTTCTCAGGGCTGAGAGGACATTCTGCAGGCTTTGAACACATGCCTTTCTCTGCTTCCATTTCCCCTTGGGTCCCCCAGCTCCCATCCCTACAGGGAACTCCTGCCAGGGTGAAATGACAATGATAATACATCACTGAGCACTTCCTCCATATCAGGCACTATTAGGGGCCTTACAAGTATTTCTCACTCAGGTTCCTAACGACGACCCTGTGAGGTGGATGCTGTGAACAGTTCGAAATATAACACACATTCGGAAAGATGCCTGGAACAAAAATGAGCAGCTCAATGACTTATTACCAAGCACACGTCCAGGGGGCCCAAAAGCCCCCACCCGTGTCCCTTCTCGACTGCGGTCCTCGCATCCCCCAAAGGTCCCACCCTGCTGGCTTCCAGGGCAATCTCTCCCTTGCTTGGGGTCAGGAATGAGGCTCAGAGAAGATGTAACCTGCCCAAGGTCATGCGGCTGGTGAGGGCAGAAGGAGTAAGGAGTTGGATGCCTCTGCCATCTGCTCGCTGTGTGACCTTTCGCAAGTCCATTTCCTCTCTGGGCCTTTGTTCCTTCCTCTATAAAACAAAGAGATTCAACTAACTCACAGCCTGGATTCTTGGACCCTCTGAGGGGCGATGTGGCCACTGACGGGTTAAAAGTAAAGATTCTGGAACAAGACAACCTGGGTCAAAGCCCCAGAGACTGTTACCAAACTGGGATGATAAAGGTATGGCCTCAGGGTCTTTGTGAGGATTTGATAAGTGAATACATAACAAGTCTTTAGAACAGTGCCTGGTACACAGTAAGGATTCAGTGTTGGTCGTTGCTGTTTTGTCATTAGGTTCTCCGAGGCACTCGGGAGACTTTCCCAACATTTCAAAGACCCACATGGAAATGTGACCAACCGGAGACATCACCTGGGCTGGGGGGCAGTGGATGCAGCAGCTCGGTGAGCCCTTCAGACCCCACAGGGGCTGCTTGGCAGACCCCTGGAGAGCCAAGTCTGGGATTACGCAAAGCAAGAGAGCCAGCTGCTGAACCCCAGCTGTGGCCTGGCTCCCAGGAGCTTTCTAGACAGGTCCTAGGGGTCCCAGGCCGGGAACCCCCAGCAGGTGGTCAGAGCCTGTCCTCACGCTGTATCTCAGGACCCCTGGGGTGGGCAGCCTGTGGGGCAGGGCAGACAGGGCTCAGGCCCGGGGTGGAGGCTAGCAGGTAGAGTGGGCCCTGAGCAGGACAAGGCAGCAAAGGGAAGGTTGGGCTGGTCAGAGAGAGGGATGGAGAGGGCCTGAGGTGGACATGTGGGTCGGGGTCGAGGCCAGGGAAGACCTACGACAGGCTCTGGCAGGCCAGGCCCACCTCCCCCAGGTCGCAGGGCTACCGCCTTCTCCATGTTCCTTGGTTTCCCACCTCGGGGCCTTTGCTCCAGCTGTTCCCTCTGCCTGGAATGCCCTCACCTGGAAAACTTCAAGCCAGTTCAGCTATCACTTCCTCCCAGAAGCCCCTCTCCCCCACACACACGATTATCGTCACTGGTTACAGTAAATCTAAAAGTACCACTTTCCTCATCATAGGAAAGTGGTTCCTTTCCAGCAGTTACCAGAGTCTGTAATCATATCATCATTTGTGTTTGTCTAATGTCTCCCCGACCAGGGCAGGAACGGTATGAGTTTTCCCCACCTCTGTCCCCAGCATGGAGCATGGGCCCTGGTATATGGTAAATGCTCAGGAAGTCCTGCCGGGTGAAGGTGGGAGGTCCAGGCAGGCTGCAGGCAGGTCCGGGCAGGGTGCGGGCACACACAGCTGCACGGGTGTGCAGGAGACACTGTGTGCGAGGCCAGAACGTGAGGCTGGTGTAAGAGGCACCTCCGTGTAAAACACACACGTGCATGAGTATGCCTGTGTGCAGGTGATAAATATGGCGTGTACAAGAGTGTGGAAGTACACGAGGGGCAGGCAGGCAGCTGTGTGTTGTTTCCTGGCAGGTGCACACAGGTATATGAACATATGTGTAAGCTGTGGGTGGCAGGAGTGCATAAACGTGCTTCTGTGTGACGTGTGTGTATCACGTGTGTGGACTTGTCTCCTGAACTCCTGGCTCCTATAGGCCCAGTTTGGGGCACCTCTGGTGGTGTTTCTGAAATAGCAGGGGAGCACCTCGAATTGGCAAAAGTGGGGCGAGGGGAGCAGGGTCAAAGGTGGAAGCGGAATGGCTGATAGTATGAATATGTGCAAGTGTGTATATTTGAGTGTGTCGGGGGGCGTGTGCCCGTCTCAGCCAGGTGTCCTCCCATTGAACCCCAGAACCTGAAATGGCTAAACTGTCCCCTCAAGGAACATGAAGCCTTTGCCCAAAGCTCAGAGAAGGACCCAAACGGTAGGGACCGCCCCCCAAGGATATCCTGCCACACAGATGATGCAGGGACAAGGGAGGACGCTTTGGGCCCCAGAGCCAAATCCCTTGGCCTTCCCCACACACCTTATCCATTCAACACACCACTCCGCCCCGTCCCCGAATCCTACCAGCCTCCAAAGCCCAGCGCCAGCCCTGGTTCCACGAAGCCAAACCCACAGCCCCCAACCCACTTCCACTCCACCCACCTCTCAATCCCACCCAAGTCCAGGTGGGGCGCTGGGCCCTCTGCAGCCCTGCACCTCGAGGAGTGTTACCCCCATTGTGAAGACGAGGAGGCCAATGCCAACAGAGGGAGCAGCTCCCCAACCAGGGCTGTCGTTGCCTTTGAATCCCAAGGCACATATTGCGGCAGCCTGTTGGCACCTGAGGAGAGGAAAGCCCATCAGGCAAAGCGTCGGGATGTGTGGACAAGGCCTACTCCTCTCCTTTCCCACTGTAGTTTCCCCAATGGACAGAATGAGGTTTGGCTGGATAATCTGTGAGGTCCATCTCTCCTCAATTAGTGTGTGACTTTAGATCTCAAATGGTTCCCCACGAATTGGGTATACATGCGGCTACATGGAAAGATAACTGTCCTCTTTCCCCCAGTACACCAAGCCTTTCCAATACCCTGGACAAGGGCCTAGCACGGTGCTACAGAGACAGGAGGAGCTCGGGATGCATGTACGCTCGGTGCCCGGTCACACATTCAACACCAAGCACCAAGGAGGCCTGCCCTCAGGGAGCTCACAACCCAGTGGGGAGAGAGAAGCTACTGAAGTCATCAAACTATAAGGTCCAAAGCACTGGGAAACCGTAACACTAACATCACTTCCCAAGTGTTATTCACAGGGGGAGGTGCAGCACCTCACACTATGTAAAGTAGACCTTTCCAGCAATGACAACTGTCTGACAAAGGGAGGCTAGGGGGCCTGTGAGGAGGGAACTCCCTGCCACTCTAGCAGAGATCAGAGGCCCTCTTGTCAAGGATGTGGGAAGGGAGTTCCCGCTCTGTGCAGGGATCAGGTGAGGCTGGGCTTCCCCTCACCAGCTGTGGGATTCTAAGGCAGAGTCCCAGGGTGCTGGGTTCAAATCGCACGATGTGCCTGTTGAGCTCTGTGAACTTGGGCAAGTTCCCTAATCTGTGCCTCCATTTCCTTGGCTGTAAAATGGGGGTAATAACAATGAGGATTAAATATGTCAACATTTATAAAGCCTTTTGGAACACGGCCTGGCGCAGCGTAAGCGCTCTGGGCCACTAAATAAGTCAGGCAGTGAGAGCTCTTTGTAAAGGGTCTAAGTCCCAGATTGGATCAAGCACAGACTCCAGTGTCAAAGGCTCTGAGGCAGAAATCTTCTTAGATGCTAAGGTTCTGAGATTGAAAGAGACTAGGATTCTTAGATCCCATGATTTAATCATCTCATTACTTCCTGACAACAGCCCGGAGCCTCCCAGGGGAGGAGAGGGCAGAGCCTGGTGTCACTTCATCTCCCAGGGGCTGCCCCGCAGCCGGGGCGGCATCTCCTCACGTCCACCAAAGCCACAGCCACCCCGTCCTGGACCCACCTGCCCACTCGCCTGCGTGGGGTTTAAGCATGTGACAGCTGTGCGGACAGGCAAGGCTTAGTGCAAATAAACAAAATAAACAAACACACGAGGAAGTTTCGGATACTGATGAGAGCTGCAAGGGCTGGTGTGACCGAGAGTGACAGTGGGAAGCTATCACAGAGCAGGTGGCCAGGGAAGCCCCAGCTGAGCCGAAACCTGCAAAACAAAAAGGCGCCAGCCGTGCAAGCATTCCAGGTCGGGGGTGGATGTGCAAAGGCCCTGCCAACAGGCTTTGTAAATTCGAGGTGCAGAAAGAAGCTGGTGTGGCTGGAAGTGGTGAGACTGGGGGGTAGAGGGGAAGCTGAGGTGGAGGGGTGGGCAGGCCCAGACCATAAAGGGCCTTGTAGGCCCCTAAAGGACTTTGGATTCTTGTTCTTCAAAATGCCTAGGAAATATTAAAAGAGTTTCAGCAGGGGAATGACAAGGCTACACAAGGCTTTCGGGGTCCCCAGGTCATGATCATTGGGCTCATTCTGAAACCAGCACGATGGTTTTCAAAATCAAGGCAGGGCCTGAGGTGGTAATCAACAATCCTTCTAATTCAGTTGGTGTACACTGAGCTCCTACTACATGCCTGGCCACGGCGGGGAGACATCACAGACACTCTTGCGTTCGTTCCCAACAAGCCATGAGAGAGTCATAGAGATTACCGCATTTTAAAGATCAAGAAATCGAGGCTCAGAGAGGGGAAGAATGTGCCCAGAGTCACACGAGCCATACACCACACTGTACAAACCATAAAGACAAATGGATCTTGGTCCCAGGACCCAGATTCACCATCATGGTAGTGGTATTTTCAAGCCCCTGCTTCTCCAAGAGACCTTCCCTGAGGACTCATGTAGGCACCCATGGATACTGCCCTAGCTAGTGCTTTCTGCACCCTGTTAGCTCTGGAGCCCTGAAGGACTGTCCTTGTATTTCACATGGCTGTCCAACCTGGGCAGGTAAGCTAGGGACTGGCTGGCTGGACAGATGAACGTATGTATGGATGGATGGATGGGAGGGCAGATGGATGACTACTGAAATGACTAACCAATAAACTAATGAATGTACAATGAAAGAATAAAAGCATAATCTAGCAAACTAATGAATGAACTAATGGATGAAGGAAGGAAGGAAGGAAGGACTCTCACTTTACAGAGGCAGGGAAGTGTCTGCCCAGGGAAGGGCTGGGGCCAGGCTAGCTTCAGACCCAGTCCACACCTCACCAGCGGCCATCTTGCCCCCATCCCCCAGACCACAAACAGCCTATTCCTTAGCCCCCGGGACAAAGCCATGCCTCTGCCAGGTGCTGGCCATTATAGTGCCCGTGGCCCCATCACCATAACCACCAGCAAGCAGTGGAATCTGGTGGGAGGTAGAGTGCTTCACTCCCCCTCTGAGTGTCTCACAGACAAAAGGAGACAGGAGACAGGCTCCGCTCCTAGCTGGGACCCAAACTGCTGGGTGACTTCAAGCACGTGGCTGCCCCTCTCTGAGCCGAGATGACCTCTCAGGGCCTTTTCAGCTCTGACATTCTTTAAGGGGTGGGCTTCTAGATTTTTTACACAGTCACTGGGGTAAGCAGAAGAGTTTGAAAGATCAAAAACTAGCAGTTGGGAAAGACACCTGTCCACAAGTACCAAAGTCCACCCAGGAAAAGGCTCCCTGGACAAGGAGTCCGGAAGCTTGAGTTTAAGCTCTCCTCTATCACTGCTTAACCTCTCCAAGCCTCAGTTTCCTAAATTTTAAAATGGGGTTAAGTATCCCCCACCTTGACAATTTCACCTGAGTTTCTGGGAGAAACCTGACGTGATAACAATCAGGCACTACACTGTGCAAACTGTAAAGTTCCCTTCACTCAGGCAGGATTATGATGGCGGTGGGCAGGGGTAGGAGTGAAGGTGGACATGCTGTCCCATTCCAGTCCAGTTCTGTCCAAAATGACTCTTCCAGGGGTCAGACCCCCAACAGAGAACGGTGGAGAGAGCCCAGATGTAAAAACCTGAAATCTGAGTCCCTGTCTCAGCTCTCCATCTAACTGGCAATGTGACTTTGGGACAATCACTTCCCCTCTCTAGACTTCAGTTTCTCCATCAGAAAAATGCCTGGCTTAGTACCCTCTGGCTCAGACATGCCAACTTCTGCAGCCCTGAATCCCTAAGCCCCAGGCTTCAACCCCTGGCTCTGCCCGAAGTGAGCTCACCCTGCCCTGTGGAGTCACAGACCAGGAGTGACTGGAGGGGTCTCCCCTCCAGGAGACCTTGGGGAAGGGGTTAGACAGGCTTAGGGTCCTCCCAGGACAGACAAACTCTCCCAAAAGGGAAAGACCACACCCAACCAAGGCTGCCCAGGTGACTTGGACAGCGCCAGCCACCCCAGACCTCGTGGGCCTGGCCTTCAGAACACTTCTGTAGCCTCAAAGCCAGCAAGCCCTGACCTGTCCAGAGAAATACTTCAGGAACTTCACCCAAGTCCAAACTGCCTCCAACAGGGAGCCTCCAGGGCAGGGCAGGGGCGGCAGAGTGGGTAAGAGCACACCGCAGGGAAGAGGCTCAGACGACCACCACCGGACAACCTCTCCCGGCCCCTCCCCTCAGACAGGTCCCCCTGGGGCTGCCGGCCTGCACCCAGCCAAGAGCCAACCACCTGGGGGCATTTACCACCAGAAGCCACCTACCAGGGCCAGGAGGCCCACCAGGTCGGGGAAGGGGCTCTCCAACTGCCGAGCACACTTGCCCAAGGGCTCAGGGAGCTACCGCAGCACCCAGGGCAGGATTTCCGCCTACAATGGGGCCCCGGCCACCCATGAAGGAGACAGGCCCACCCCACCCCCAGCTCAGAGCTCTGAGGGTTCCACACTGCTCCAGGGCTGGGTGGGGGAGAGCAGGATTACTTCCTCATGCCGAGGGTCTTAGTTGGAAACCCAGGGCCCACTCAGAGCCCCTATTGCCAACCCTCTCCTCCAAATCTGAGAATATAGTTCCTTACAATGCCGTTTTACGCGGCCTCTTCCAAAAGACATTTCCTAGCCCCCCGAAACCCCCGCCCCCAACCCCCCCCCCCCCCCCCCCCCCCGCAGCTCTGGGGAAATCGGCAGTTAACTTTTTCCCAAAAATCCCGCAGAGGCAGCTGGCTGGGGGGAGAAATGAGCCCCGAGATCCTTTCGCGGCATTTCACCGCCTTCCAAAAGAAAAAAAAAAAAAAAAAACTAAAAAAAGAGAGAAAACTTTCGGAGTTAACTTTAAATTCCCAACCCTCCCCCCAAAATCGCCCAGCGGCTTCCTTTTTTTTTTTTTTCTCTTTAAAGTGCAATTGCATTGTGTCTCACCTCCCCGAAAGGCTCGCGGCTCTCGCCAAAGAAAAGGAAAAAAGCCAACCCTTCGGGTGCCCCCTCTGCTTCCAGCCGCCTCTCCCACATTCTCAGACAGTTTTATTAAAATTTTCAGACAAAAGAAAAACAAAAATGGCAGCCTGGCTTATTTTTAAAACAGGACAGGGACGCCATATTCTGCAGATCTGCAAAAAAAGGGAGAAATCCGGCACTGGCCGCTCCACCCGGCCGGCTGCAAAGTGCGCGAACCGCGTCGTTTGCAATCCGTTTATTTGCATTAAGCCCCATGAATCATTGTTTACCGGAGAATTGCAGCAGGTTTGAATAGCCCGGCTTAAGAAAACACACACACGCGCGCGCACACACACACGCACACGCACACTCGGAGAGCAGACCAGACACACCGCCGGAGACACTTCCTACCCCGCGCGCCGCTACCGCCGCCGCTCCGGGCCGGGCCCGAGGTGCAGGCGGCCCCGGGCCCTCTGAGCGCCCCGGCCCGCGCGGCCGGCCCCCCGCCCGCAACTCGGCGCAACTTTCCCGCGGGCGGGCGCCCGCCGCCGCCGGGCCCGCTCCCCGCGCTCCGGGCCCGCACGGACCTGGCTGTGCTGGCGGCGGCTCCGGGACGCGGCCGCAGCCCCGCGCCCGGCGGCCCGAGTAGGGCCGGGCTGGGGCTCCGGCTCCGGGCTCCGGCTCCGGCTCGGTGCGGAGCCGCGCGCAAACCTTCCGGGTCGCCTGCTGTTCACTTCTGGGTTCTGCAAGCGCCGAGGCGGCGGCGGCGGCGGCGGCGGGAGGCTGGGTCTGCAGCGCCGCGCGGCCCCCCGTGCGCTCGGCGAGCCCCCGCGCCAGGCGCCCGGCTCCGGGGGGGGCCGCGTCGGGCCCCCGCCTCTCCGGCTGCGCAGCCCGTCCGGCCCCGGGGGCTCCCGCGAGTGGGCAGCGCCGGGCGCGGGCGACGGCGCGGGAGAGGAGGGGGCCGGGCGGGGGGCGGGGGCGGGCCGCGCGCTGGGGGCCCCGCTTGGGCCCCGGGGCCTCGTCTCGCGCTCGCCGCCGCCGCCGCCGCTGCCGCCTCTCAAAGTTGCGCGGCGCCCCCCGCCCGCGCCGCGCCGGAGGCAGAGCCACAAAGGAACTCCTCGCCCCCCTCCGCCCGCCCGAGCCGCGCGGGGAGGGCACCGGCGCCCGGCCCTAGGCCAGCCCCTTCCCCAGCACGGGGGCTCCCGGGGCCCCGGCTGCCGCGGCCATTGTCCCGCCCAGGCCCCCTCCCCGGCGACGGCGGACTGGGGACCTGGGCCTGGCGGGCCGCGGCCCCGACCAGGCCGAGCCCGCGCGGGGCCAGGCCGTGCCTGGGGGTCTCCCTCGCAGACGGCAGGCAGGAGGGGACCCCCAGGATGGGCTCCCACACCTGATAACCAACGATCGTGCTCAAAATCCAGGCTGAGATTTTTGTTTTTAAGTCGAGGACACGGGGATGGGGGGAGGGGGAGAAGTTTGTACAGGCCAGGCCACCCCCTCCCTCAGTAAGCTCCGGCGCTCCCTGGCCCTAGGCCCGAGCCCCCAAAGGGTGGGGCCGCCGGAGGTTGTCAGTGGCTGTCCTCGCCGAGTCTCTCAGAGGTGGCACCGGCTGTCCCCCAGCTCCAGACCTCAGAGCCATCTGTGTGTGACTCCTCCTCCCGCTTCACCCTCCCCAGCCAATCAGTCACCAAGTCCTCCGGATTCGGCCTCCCGGGCTGTGTCAGCTTCCAAACTTCACTTCTACCTGAGGAGGCGGCCAGTCCCTGGGTCCTTTCACCGGGCTCAGACCTCCTGTGACACTCACTTACTGCCAGCTGGCCTCTAGGCCACGATGAATCAAGGCTGGCCCTGCCCTCAGGAAGCACCCAGTCCCCCGGGGAAGGACACACACATAAGCAATCACCTGCCAGTGTTTGCCTTCCTCTGGGAAGCATTTCCCAATTCGTTAAATAGTGATTTAAGGACCTCCTATCAGACGCTGTGCTGGTTGGCTGGAAACACAGCCATGAGCAAGTTGGACAAAATCCCTGCCCTCCTGGAGATTCCAGTCTAGCACAGGATGTCAGGGCTGAGCAACTGGAGGACAGCGCCCACGTGTACCATTTGTGTTCGAGCCCTAAGCACAGTGCCTGGCACCGAGCAGAGCACAATACATATGTGTAGTGGAAATTAGGTGGAATTATAAAGGGGAAGAGGATGTAGATGACACAGAGGAGGCCATTTTTTTTTTCCCTCAGGAAGGTGGAGAAGCTCTTCAGAAATTAGTTCTGGGGTGAGCCGGGTTGGGAAGAAGGGAGGGGTTTCCAGTTTCCAGGAAAATGGGGGTGGTAAATAGCAACCCATTGTTGAGAAGTTCAGTGAAATGATAAATTAATAAATGGGAGAGGAGACAAATGTCTCATGCAGAAGAATTTGAAATAATTTCTGCAGATAGCCAAGGAGGTGGAGCATAACTGTTCGCTCTTTGGGGGTGGGCTGCATAGAGTGACTTCCTTCCAAAGTGTGCAGTATGAAAAAGGAGGGAAAGAGGAGTAACTTCACAGCAGAGAAACCTGACACCAGCTACCTCAGCCGGGTGACCAACGCCAACATCAACAGTCACAAGTCACATTGACAGTACGTACATTTGACAGTATGTGATGAAAATGACACTTTACCTTTCTGGTCTTCTTCCCAATAACCTATAATTTCAGTCTTGACATGAGAAAAACATCAGGCCAAATAGAACAGTAGGGCGTCCGAAAAAAATACCTAACTAGTACTCCTCAAAACTGTCATGGTCATCAAAAACTAGGAAAGTCTGAGAAACTGTCACAGCCCAGAGAAGCCTAAGGAGACATAACAACTAAATGTAATGTGGTATCCCAGACAGGATCCCAGAACAGAAAAAAGATGTTAGGCTAAAAACTAAGGAAATCTTAATAAACAATGGACTTTAGTTAACAGTAATAAATCAATAAAAGTTTTCATCAATAATTGCAACAAATTAAAAAAATATAACATACTAACATGTTACTAATAGGGAAAACTGAATGGGAGGGTGGGGGAACATATGGGAACTCTGTAATATCTTCTCAATTTTTTTATAAACCTAAAACTGTTCTAAAAAATAAAGTCTAGGGACTTCCCTAGTGGTCCAGTGGTTAAAAATCCATCTTGCAATGCAGGGGACGCCAGTTCGATCCCTGGTTGGGGAAATAAGATCCCACAGGCCACGAGGCAACTAAGCCCGCACCACAACTAGAGAGAAGCCCGCGCTGCAACGAAAGATCCCTCGTGCTGCAACTAAGACCTGATGCAGCCAATAAATAAATACTTTTAAAAAGATAAATATTATAAAAAAATAAAATAAATAAAAAATAAAGTCTAGGGGCTTCCCTGGTGGTGCAGTGGTTGAGAGTCTGCCTGCCGATGCAGGGGACACGGGTTAGTGCCCCGGTCTGGGAAGATCCCACATGCCGCAGAGTGGCTAGGCCCATGAGCCATGGCCGCTGAGCCTGCGCGTCCGGAGCCTGTGCTCCACAACGGGAGAGGCCACAACGGTGAGAGGCCCGCGTACAGCAAAAAAAAAAATAATAATAATAAAGTCTAATAGGAAAAAAAATACTTAAAAAATTCACCAACCCATGTGATCGTTGATATCATTGTTGTTCAATGAAATAGAGCTTGACATAGCACCTAACACATTTTAATGGCCCGACGAGTGTTATTATGTTATTATTATCATCATCATTGCAATTCTAAGTACTTAGAATAGCACATGCAAAGGCACTGGAGTTTAGGGTGGAGAGGGAGATGGGAGACAGAATCCTGAAGGCTTTGACTACTGCTGAACTGGAATCTTTATAAGGGATTTATGGGGGAGGGTAACATGATCTGTCCCTGCCTCACCAGCCACCTGTCTAAGCACCTGGAAAGCTGTGCTTCTGTCAGACTAAGTGAGCTGCTGTCTCAGGCCTGGCTCTTTACCTTCCAAGGCACATGCTGTTCCCTCTGCCTGGAATACCCTTCCTTGTCCTTTCATCCCACCTTTCCTGGTCACTTTTAACTCATCCTTCAGGTCTTAACTGTTCTCTAAAAAGTCTTTTGGGAGCATCTAAGAGGCTTTTAATATGGTCTGAATGGAATTGGTGTGGGCTGAGATGCAAGAAGCCAGAGGTGAAGAAATTGAACTCATCTCTTTGCCACTGCCATCCAGACCCCTCTACCCCAAATCCAAGCACGCTGGACATTGCCCCTTCCCTGAACACGCTGTGCACCTTCATGCCTCCAGGCCTCTGCTCACGCTGTTCCCTCTGCCTGGGATCCTCAGTTCTTTTCCACCCGTCTTTTATCTCTCTAGTGAACACCTACTTATCAAAGTTCAGCTCAAACATCACCTCCTCTGTGAGGCTATTCAAGGTCCTCTGTGTGGGGAGAGGCACTTTCCTCTGGTTTCCAAGAGCACCACAATCCTCTGGCCACACTGCTGGCAAAGTACTTATCATGTTGCATTAGAATAAATGTTTGCTGAATGGATGGACAAATGATCGGGTGAACAGCAACCCACTCTTACCCTCTCCAGTTCTTCAAATCCTCCTTATTCTCCTCCAGGAAGCCCTCCATGACCACTCCAACCCATTAACTGCTGTTAATGCAGTTAACTGCCCTCCTTCTTCTTTAATTTTTACAATTTAGCCCCGGATTATATTCTAACTGTTGTGTATATGAGTATCTGTCTCTTGAGTTAGAGTAAATGCTTTGAGGAAGAAACCATGTCTTACATGTTCTACATTTTCACTCATTCAACAAGTATTTACAAAGCACCTACTTCTATGTTGCCACTAGGGTCCAGACTCTGGAGAGGCAGTGAACAAGACCCAGGCCCTGCTCTGTTAGAGCATTAGAGCATTAAACCAGGCTATGCCGCAGTAACAAAGAACTCCAGTGACATATCACAAAACCTCAGTGACATAACACGAGTTGTTTATTTCTCCTGTGTGCCACATGCTTATCCTGGGTCCTCTGCTCTAGTCACTTGGAGACCTAGGCTGAGGAGTCCCTACCATCTTGAAGCTGCACCCACTGGAACATGTGGCTTTCTCAGTTACCATGGCAGGAGAAGAGAGGCTAGAGGCTCTCCATCCATTGGCCAACACTAGTCACATGGTCCTGCCCAACTGCAAGGGAGGCTGGGAAGCAGTGTTCCTCTGGAAGGCAAAGAGAAGTGGACCTTAGTGAGCTCTCCCACCGTCTGTTCCAGGAGACCGAATTTAACATATAACCAAGCGAATAAGTAATTCATCTCATAAGAGCTTCAAAGGGGAGGTTGGAGGTGTTTGGGGAGGGGGTAAGAGAAAATCAAGGAGAACTTCCCAGAGGAAGGGCCACGTAAGCCGAGACCAGAGAAGAGAGAGAAGAGCATTTCTGGCAGAGAGAACAGTACGTGAGGTTCTGAGGCAAAGAGGAGCTTGCTGTATTGCAAGGCCAAAACGACAGTGGAGCTCAAATGGAATGAGGGGGGTTGCAAAGTGACGCTGAGGGCCAGAAGTCCCAGGCAGGCTCTGGCAGGGATTTAGAATTTTAGCTTAAGAGCAAGAGGGAGTCATGGAGAGGCAGACATTAAGCAGAGAAGTGGTCAGATTCCTTTTCAAAAGGTCCCTGTGACTTCTGGGGAGAGAATGGACTGGAATGGGGCAAAGTAGGAAAGCAGGGAGGACAGGAGGAAGATTTTCAAAGTCTGCCAAGTGAACAATGGTGATGGATTGGACCAGGGTGGCACTAGCAGAAGTGGAAAGAACTGGACAAATGTGTGACATATTAAGGACTCCGTGTCACCAGAACGTGGTGACAAATAGATGTGGGGAGTGAAGAAACAAGAGGTGTCCAGGCAGTTCCCAGGTGCCGCCGCCCCATCATGGCAAGCACAAGGCTGGCTTCATAGCCTTGCATCCCCAGCCTGTTCACAGTGGGATCTTGATGCCAAGAGATTTCCATCTTCTCTCCTTGCCCTCAGCTGAAGCTAGCTGCCTCTTCATCCCACAGACTGGGGTGTACCTCCTATCAGAAGTAAAAACAACCTCGAGCATCAACACATGTACTTTCTAATTGCACCCTGACAGGATTCCTGGGAGGACGGATGGCAGGGATGTTATACCCTACTTCACAGGTGGGAAAACTGAAGCCCAAAGAAGGAAAATGGTTGGCTAAGTTTGGAGCCAGGTTTTCAGCTGAGGTCCTCCAACTCCTGGTCCAGAGCTCTGTTTGCTGCAGGGCCTGGTGCTTGCTATGTGGTGTTAGCTGAGTGAATGAATGAATGAGCATGTGAGTTCTCTGCCCATTCACTCTGTTTACCTTTGCCTATTTTATTTCTCTCAAGATGGCTGTAGAGTTTAGAGTTAACAGATTAGGTTTAAGAGTTCAACAGAGCTAGGTTTGAACCTCAACTTTGTATCTGATAGGCTGGTGGTTTTAGGCAAGTTGTTTTGTTTGTTTTTTATTTAATTAATTTATTTTTGGCCGCACGTTGGGTCTTTGTTGCTGCACATGGGCTTTCTTGTAAAAGCAGTGATAGCTATTGTTCAACTTTCTGCTCTTTGCATCTCTATGATACAACCCCCATTCTCTTTCTTTAAGCCTTTAGTAAGATGAGATGCATACTGAATGGTAGGTTGGCTCTGGGTTACCTGGACTGGCACAGAGAGGAAAGACAGGCCGAGGAGAGAGCTTGAAGGTGCACTGGGAGGAGGAAGTCGGAGCTGGAACTGACCAGGACTCTGTAAGTCACTGGAATGCAAAGAAACCTTGGGGACATCATTGGATTTCCACCAAATGTGAGGTAGGAAATTCCAGTCGATTTTTATTTAAATCTTAAAGGATCAGGAATCTGGCCCCTAAACAGGAAGAGTGTTGTGACTCATTAGTAACGACTGTCATAGGCAGGGCCAGCCTTATTCAGGAGTTTCCAGGTCCGCAATTGAGTTTAGTGCTTGCTTAGCCAGAGGTCAAGACTGTGACTTAGTCATCTATGTGTCTCTACCATCAGCAGTGAGCTGGGGGTTGTGGGATAGAGGGAAGTGGCAGAAGGAAAAGTAGGGGTGGTGGGGGCGGGGAGAGCAGAGCCAGAAGCAAGTCAGAGCCCCAACCAGGCAGGGCAGGACATGTGGATCCTCGTCCTGACTCTGTTACTAACCTCAGTGAGCTTGGGTAAGCCACATGGCAGCTCTGGGCCTCAATTTCTTCAACTGTGAAATGGGGGCAAGTTGTAAGTGAAAAGCATGAGTGCTTTGAGATCAGACACACAAGGTTCAAATACTGGCTCCCAGGAGCTTTAGGACCTGAGGGCATCTCAGCCTGCTCCTTTATCAAAGGAGGATACTAATCCTTATTTCACAGGGCTGTGTGTCAGGATTGGAAATTGTATACACCACCATTTACCGAGCATTACCATAAGTGAGGCATCTTGCTGGGTTTTTTTATAGGCATGATCTCACATGGAGAAGGTAGGGCATGCAGCACAGTGTCCAGGACCTGGCAGGGGCTCAGGGAGTGTTAATGCCCCCATCCCTGCAGGACCTAAGGAGTTCATGGATATGGAAGGGCCTTATCATTCACAGATCACCTTCAGAAAGTGACGGCAGCTACTACTTTCAGCCCTTCCTCCTAGCTGGTCTCCACAAACCTCCAGAGGTGGGCTGTCACAGCAGATCTGGACACAGCTCTTTTTTATGACTGACCCAGGGGCTGCCAGGGGGAAAGGGCAGAAGTGTCATAATGAAAGGGCAGACAATTACCTTCCCTTATAATTAGCATTTGTAGTAAATTAAATAATAATAGTCTTTTGCAGGCCCTGAGAACACAAAGCAGCCCACATGGATAACATCTGATTCCCTTCTCTTCTGCCAGGAATTGTGTGCCCACAGGGATGGGATGGGGAAATTGAGGCAAAGAAAGGAATAAGGCCAGCCACTCTAAGCCACACACAAATCAGGGTGCCAGAGTCATGGAAAAATCCTTAAAGAAGAGACTCAGAGTGGCAGACAACTGGGGGCTTGTATTTGAGATCCTGGCTCCACTGCTCACATGCTTTGTTGCTGGGGGTAGCTAACTTCCCTCTCTGGGCTTCAGTTGTTCCATAGGTAAAATGAGACAGAGTCAACACGTGACCTGATGTGAGTCTATTGTTCTAGGCTTTATTCTATTCATATATAATATTGAGCACTTATTTTTGTACACTTCGGCTGGCAAGAAAGAGAACTCCACCTCAGGCTAGCAAATAAGCAGGAAAAGGGGGTTACTGGCTCACAGAATCCAAGGCAAGTTTGAACAGCCAAGCTGTACAAGAAGCAGAGGTCCCAGGAACAATCAAACCAGGGGCTAGAATACCTCAGGCCTCCCTCCTTTCTGCTTCCCTCAAATAAGCGTTAATCTTTCTCCAGAGTGCAAGGGCACCAGCAGCTACCCCAACCTGCAGATCAGAGCTTCATCCTCCTAAGGGAGTCTGCTGTCATTGGCCCTGCTTGAGTCAGGTGGCCACCTTTGGACCAATCAACTGCAGCCAGTAAGTCGGCATCTATAGCATCCCAGGGGAGCGTTAGAGAGCCAGTAAGAGAAGGGGCAAGTTGCCCTGGGGAGAAGTAGGGGGCACTAAGCGGGCAAAATCATGGTCATTCAATAAAAACAAAAATCCCTGCACATGGCCTGTAGAAGACTGAAAGGGGAGGAATGTCATTAAACCAAAGCAGTGGTATAAATCCCCAGGAATGCAGAAATACTAGAGGCGGGGCGGGGTGGGGAGACCTTACAGGCTTGATTTCAGACCCCAGCCTGCTGAGCTGGGTACCCAGTCCTATCTGGACACTTGACCCACCAGGGGAGAAGCAGCTTCCAGGCTTCTCAATGGCCTGGATGAAATACCTGTGCGTGGACATCACTTCATGCTTCCTGCTAGGCCTTTACCTTCTACAGGCGACAACAGCTTCCTTCTTTGGGGGAATTGCTGTGCCTCTTATTCCAACCAGGTGGTTCCAGTGGGGACGGGAGGGTCACACAACCCGAACCAGGCCAATCAGAAGCCTTCTCCCGGGCTATCCTTGGGCACCTAAAGCCGTGGCCCCAGAAGAAGCCATCTGAGAGAATAGAAATCCCATGCTGAGAGGGGCAGAGTGCAGAGAAGAAGGTGCTGGCAGCGCCCTCCTGCCTCCACCAAGCCATCCCAAAGTGTGGCCTAACTGCAAGCCCCTCCCTTGGTTTGGCTACAATGAGCCAAATTCCCCTTGGGCAGGTGTATTCGTTTTGCAGAGCTGTTGTAAAAAATGATCACCAACTTGGTGGCTTAAACAGGAATTCATCCTCTCACTGTTCTGGAGGTCAGAAGTCTCAAATCAAGATGTGGGCAGGGCCACACCCCCTCCTCAGGTTCTAGGGAAGAACTCTTCCTGGCCTCTTCCACCTTCCGATGGCTCCAGGCATCCCTTGGCTTGTGGCTACAGGTGTCCAGTCTTTGTCTTTGTCTTCACATGACCTTCTTTCCCTTTTGTCTCTCATAGGGACACTCGTCATTGGATTTAGGGCCCTTCCAGGTACTCCAGAATGATCTTATCTCAAATTCTTAAATTTATTACATC